AGATACTAAGTGGTGAGATATCCATAACTCGGGATGATTGGGGGGACAGAATCTGACCAAGGCCAACACATACACCCTCATAGGGGCATTGAGAACTCAGCCTCCAACATCCGACCCAACACCACACAGGGGCATCTCCCAAATGTGCAAGAACCAACCATCAGGTCCTTGTTCAGAGCCTTGGCAACGGGGACTAGACAAGAAATATCATTATTCGATGGTAACAACATAGGAGGCTAGGTATTCTGAGTTGAACTATTCTTCAATTTACATCCATTATCAATGGCCAAATAGTTATCTACCATTGATTTCAATTTATAAGGTAAGGCTCTCTCTCATGATTTAGATGGAACGATGTGTGTGAGCCCTTCAGAAGCTAGGAATATCTCCGTCATCAGCTTTTGAAACAAATCCGCACCCTTTGCCAAAATTTTCTGAAAATAAAACAGTAGGATACCATGGCAGAATATTGTGATGAGTTTGAGCTCATAACTATGGTTATTGATAATATCTCAGAAGGTGTCTTAGAGAATACCTTTCGTAAGGGTCTCAATAAGGAAATTCAGGTGGAAGTTTGTGTTTTTGAACCTACAAGGTTGAAGGTGATAATATGACTGACCCGAAAGTGGAAATGAAGTTGGGCACACTGAACAATATTGATTATTTGAGAAAGAACCATATCTCCAAACACTCCAATAGAAATACCTCATATCATTGTCCATGACATTGTAAAGGACCAGACTTATCACTTTCTCAATACAAAGACATAGTGAGCTCTCCCATTGTAGTCACCACCACCATAGACATCATCTTCTAGAAGAAATGAAAGGTTACATCTCATTCCAAGTTCATGCACCATGGTTTCTGGGCTTGTGTTTTTCATTCAACGAAAAGTTGGCACTAAGGTACCCCTGCGAGAAAAAGCTACAAGTACTGGTCATCCTTGAAGATACTCCTCTAGAGCTCAATGAGGCCAGTGACGATGGGAATGAACCTCTCACCGAAGAAGACCTCACCCACTTGATGTTCACCCTTAACTCCTTGGCAAAAGATGCCTAGATTTGAACACTTAAACTTCCAAGGGAATCTAGGCAAAGGGATAGTCACCATTATCGTCTATATTGAGGCTTCACATAATTTCATCACCATGAATTTAACCAAAGAATTTAAACTTTTGACAATGATGACTTCTCCATTTCATGTTGTTACAAGCATATACAAACAGGTCATGAGAACAACTACTTGTCAAGGTATTTTACTGGAGCTTTAAGTGATGATTTTCTAGTCATTCCCTCGGCCACGGTTGATATAGTGCTTGGGCTGAAATGATTAAGCACCATAACAAAGGTCAAAATAGATTTCAAAAAATGGATGATATCTTTGAGGCAGGGATCAGATTGCATCATCCTCCAAGTGGATATTCCACAAAATGATACCAATATCACCCTGAAGGCCTTATCCAAAGTCATCAAACAAGCAGACATGATTATCACACTCTTTTAGATTAGTTAACATGATAACACATCATCTTGCAATTTATCAAAACTCAAAGGCTGCCTCAAGATCATATTCCCTATAGTATTCAAACAATGCAATGAATTCCCCCCAATCCACAAAGTAGATTGTACTATCCCACTAGAACCTAGCACAAGACCCCTTAACATCAACCCATTCCATTACTTGTATTTTTAAAAGAAAGACTTGAGAAACTTGTCTAGGAGATGCTTTCAGCATGGATTATTCATCACTCCAAGAGCTGATATTTCAATTCAGTTTTGTTTGTTAAAAAATAATGATGGAACTTAGCAATTTTTTGTGTAGATTATTACACCCTGAAGTAAGTGATGATTTAATAGTCGAATAATTTCTTGATGAACTAAACAAAGCCATGATGCTTTCAGAACTAGATCTGATTTTGCACTCTCAAAGATTATTATGAGTTCCTTGTGATACATTTCAAGTAAACATTCATCATATACACAACTTAACACAATCTCAAGTTCATTATGGAGCAGAAGAAAATACTATAAGAATATAAAAAATATGTATCCAAAATATTTGGATTTGATTTTGAGATTTTCTGCAAGTCAAGATCCAAAAATAAAGTAGTTGATGCATTATCTTAAAAACTTATATGTCACAGACTTCAAGTTATGGAATTATCATGTTTGGAACTATTAAATCTTGACATAATCATACAAAATAATAAATTGGCCCCTTCCTCATCAAGATCATCATCAAACTTCAAGATGCAAAAGAACAATGACCAGCTTATTCCTTCCACCAAGGACTTCTAATTTCTAATATTCCTAAGAAATTTTATGATTCAATTATTATAGGTCAATCAAGATTTATAAGAACTTACAAAAGAATCAATCAAAATGTACAATAGAATGAGATGAAAATTCATGTCAAAAAGTACATTGAAGCATATTACACTCAACAAAAAATAAGACACATGTTCTTTCTCTAGATAAGTTATTGTAGCTTATACTTATTCCAAAAAAAATTAAGAAGGTATGTGATGTGACCTAATCATTGTATAATAAATCATCTAAATTCAAAATTTATAAAACTAGAAGATACTATTTTTTAGGTTTTTAGAAATATTTAAATACATAAAAAAATTATAATTTGATAAAGGTTTTAAAAATTATAGAAAATATTTAAATTGCTCATAAGGATGTTAGATAATGTCTAGTAATATTTTAGAATTTTGCTCAAAAAATATAATTTTATGATTTCTAAACTAAACGATAAAGATAAAATATATTTAAAAATTCACGAGAAAGAGAAATTCGAGTATAGATATCAAAATGACATCAACACCCTGATGAATGTCATTCAAACAAAAGTAGAGTTTCACCTAACAATTCTTACATAAACGATTACAAATGATTGATCAAATTAAAATATATAAAAGATAAAAGAATCTTAATTAAAACATAAAAGATAGAGTTCTGACTTCATAACGACGATTATCAAAATTGTATTTTTAAGATGATTATTGTATAATGTCTATAACATCAAAGGTTATATAGACAATCTCTAATTTTTTTTTAAAGTTTAAAAATTAATGAAATGAATTGATGAATCATCTTTAAACAATCGTTACTTAATAAAGCAGAAAAATGATGATTTTCAAATATCTAGTGGTTATTAGTCATTAGAGATAAGCTGAATGGAGGTAGAACACATTTTAAGGAGCTTCATCTTCATACGTATGTAGCAATATGAAGGTTTTCATCGCATCTTGTATGTTATGAGGAGGTGGCAACTCGTTTCTTAATAAATCATCCTCTTTCTGACAACAACTTATTTATTGATCAATCGAAGATGATTTTTTCAATAGATTCAAAATCTTTTTATTCATAAATATTTGTCAGTTGGTGATGATGCTTCACAAATTATATTGATAATATTTTTCTTGATAATTGAGTAATTATAGTGGCTTAATCATTACTTTGCACTCTGTAAGAAAATCATGATTTAATCAGATGAAAATGTTAATTTTTGACTCTAGTGTGATTCAAACTCTCGCTGATTGTCCACTTACATTAGAGAGTGAAATAAATATGTGAATACTTTTGTCAAGTGATGTCATAAAAGTATCTACTTCTTATAAATTAGGGGTATTTAAGATATTAAAATTATTTTAAAAAATTAAGAAGTAGTGGTACAAGTTTAGTCTCACAATAATTATTTTTTAATTTTGAGCCAAATATATAATAATATATCTTTTTTTTACTCAATATTGTCTTCAAATGTGTACAACAACTCTATCTCCCATGCCTAGTAGGCCACAAGTGACATGAAAGGGAAGTGACATGCATGTGTTTTGTTGATCATTCATAAGTTGCTCAAGCCCCTTACTCATTGCTTTGCTTTTGACCTACATATAGGTTTAGCTGGTTAGCGGGTGCCTCAACTTGCTTGAGAGCACAACTAGTACTAGCATCCTCCCTTTTTATATATTTTTATTATATCTTATTTCTCTTTACTTTACCTAAAAAATATGATTATAAAATTATATAAATTCACATAAAATCATTTAATTAGTTAAAAATTTACATTAAATAATTAAAAATAATTTTATTATTAATTTAACATAAATATAATTGTATTATCATAAGTCAAGATTAAAAATAAAGACTTAGATATATCATTTTAGATAAAAATGACTAAGCTGAGCAACATGTACTTTAAAAATGATATGATTGGATCACATTTCATGATACATCAATATAAAATATTTACCAAAAGATGAGAGCTCTACAAAAGAAGATAAAAATGAGGAGATGTTCTTTTCAAAATGAAGGTATTATTTTTGTACAAATTTAGTTAGTTTCCTATTCTATTATAAATCTATGACTCTTGAGGAGTTGAAAAAAACTATCTTCCACAAAAGTAGTTATCTAGAAATAAGCTCAATAGAAGAAAGGGCAAGATATTTGCAGCCGCCAACATTGATCCACGTGCTATTGAGCAAGTAAGTTTTGATATCATGTAAAAGAGAGCGGAAGAAAGAGGTGATGGAAAATGAATAAGAGAAAGAGGAATAATAGTGTGGAGGAGACAATGCGACTTCTGGGCCTAAAATCCACCAATGCTTTTATAGGAGCTGAGGTTACAAGTGGTGCTAAGGTTCTCTTTTCTACGAGCTTTGGAGACCGTTGGGGTTGGGATTATGAAGGTGAATCGTTTACATCCCTCTCTCTCTCTCTCTCTCTATCTCTCTCTCTCTCTCTATATATATCTCTCTCTCTCTCTCTCTCTCTCTCTCTTTCTCTCTCTCTCTCTCTCTCCTCCGACTTCAAGGATAAGAGAACTCCGTTGGCTCCCGCCAAACACCATCGCCACGGGGTCCTATCTGACCTGGCCGGGCCAAGCCCAGTGAACGATAAAACCTTTTTCTTTTATTTTTATTCTCAAAATTCAAGACCAAAAGCAAGCAGCCCAAAGCCGGACCGGGCCCGGGCCCGGGCCTGGCCCTACAGAATTCAGAGACGACCCGCGGCGGCCCTCTTCAGAGTATACCTCCTCGCAAATACGGAGAAAGCAATAAGGTTAGCCACGCATAGTCCAGTCAACGCGGAAAAGAGATAACCCAGGTGTCCCTCGCTGAGGTCCTTCGGCACCCACGAGGCAGCCAGTGTCGCCATCGCCGCCGAGCTCAGGTAGCTCCCCAGAGAGATTCCGAGAAGGGATATCGCCGTTGACATGCTCCTCATCCCCACCGGCGCCTCGCTGTAGAAGAACTCCAGCTGCCCCACACAGGCAAAGGCCTCTGCGCCGCCGACGAGGAAGTACTGCGGCAGTTGCCACGCTATGGCGGCGCCGCCGCTCTTCACTCTCTTCATCTCCACCGCCGCCGCCGTCGCCACTGCCGCCGCCATGAGCGAGTATCCAATCCCCATCCTCTGAAGCAGCGGCGGCGCCGCCGCGGGGACGACGACCAGCCACGCCATGACGCTCGCCACCTCGAAGGCGAAGAGGGACGCCGGGGGCACGCAGAAGGAGGCGATCTTCCCGTCCATGGCCTTCCCTTGCTCGACGAAGGTGGTGTAAATGTGTGCGTAGGCGGCGGAGAAGACGACGCCGGTGAGCCAGAACGGGAGCAGCCGGAGAAGAAACTTCAGCTCCGCAGCTCTGAAACTTCTCCCCAGTTGGCCCTTCGTCGTCGTCCTCAGCCGGAAAATCTTCGTGCCGGAGAGAAAAGCTCCGAGCGCCGCCGCCATGGCGACGGCGGCGCCGCCGAATCCGACCGCCCATCCGACGTTCTCTTCCGTCCAGACTACGAAGGTGCTGGAAACGAGAGCACCCAGGTTGAGAGAGAAGTAGAACCAGTTGAAGAAGGAAGACTTCTTCTTTCTCCCCCTCTGGTCCTCGTCGCAGAACTGATCGGCCCCCAAAGGAAGAAGCGAGGACTTGACCCCCCCACTCCCCAGGGCAACCATGTATAGGCCGGAGAAGAAGATGACCCTCTGAGGAGTTGCAGAAGATCGGAGGATAGAAGATAGGGTGACGAGAAACATTCCCTGTCAGATTTTAGAGAGAGAAAGTCAACAGATGAGAACGGTGAGAATCGAAAAACTTTTGGGAGAGTGGTAACATACGATGAGCTCGATCGAGGAGGCCAAGATCATGCAGTAGCCTCCGCAGTAGGAATCCGCCACGAGAGCTCCGAGGAAGGGAGCCAGGAAGCTCGTCCCAGTCCAGGACATGATGCTCGTGGCTATAGAAGGATTGCTCTGGTGGAGCACGTCGCCGAGAAAGATCACCAAGTTTGTGGATATTCCGAAGTAGCCGAGGCTCTCCAAGCACCCAACGCCTGCAAATTTCTGGCGTGAATGGGGAAAAAGGGAGATGAACGAGTCGGCAGAAGGACGGACTTACCCAGGATAATGGCGGGGCCACGCCAGTCTTCTTCCTGGGATGATCCTTCTACTCCCTGGAACATATGAGATTTCAGAAACCCACATCGTGTCCAGAGAGAGAGAGAGAGAGGGAGGGAGGGAGGGAGATAGAGAGAGGGAGGGAGAGGGAGAGAGAGAGGGAGAGGGAGAGGGAGAGGGAGAGGGAGAGGGAGAGGGAGAGGGAGAGGGAGAGGGAGAGGGACAGATCGAGCTTCACAGCTTGCAGCCGTGAAGAAGGCACACCCTCACAGAGAGAAAGAGGCCACCTTTTCGATTCTCAGGAGTGGAGTTGAATCCCCTTTTTCTATGGAGTCGTCTGTCTCCTCCATGGATGAGACCTGTGCAGGGCTCTCTCTCTCTCTCTCTCTCCGGGCTAATGTTGTGGGGGCCAAGGCGATCTTAAATGGGAGGAACACAATTACTAGTAATTAACACGCGAAAAGAGATTAACTTGAAATTACAAATCATAATCCCAAATGTCCATCCCCTCCCTCTTAATTGACCAAATAAACAGGTCCAAATAATTACTTAAATTGATATTATTCCTCTGTATTCTCTAAAAATGTGTAGAAAAACACGCAAAAAATTATTACAAGCTTTGCACTTTATGGGTACAAAAATAAAATGTTTGAGAGGAAAATAAATATATATAGCTGCAAAGAAAATATTTACTTGACGACTTCTCGCCCCACGTCTGTCTGTGAAGGCGGTGCTCCTCGGAAAGGTGTCAGGTGACGTGTCGGATCAAAAGTCAAAGCCACGTGTTCGCGTCTTACTTTCTCCACGCGTCAATCGGCTGACTTGGAACTTATCCTGAGAGCTCTCAGCGACCGTCTGATCCCTATCAGGGCTGCTGGTGGCAAAACCGCCGGCGAGCCGTCAAGAAGGCGGAGCCACTTCATCCTCGTCCCCACGATTCTTAGGTTGACCGGGCTATAACAAGGCTGCCGCGCGCGGGCCGTGCCCGGGCCCACCCTCCGAGACTCTGTGCTCGAGGGTATGAATCGAATTTAAAAAATGAGAGTAAAAAAATTCAAAACAAATGCACCAGCCGGGAATCGAACCCGGGTCTGTACCGTGGCAGGGTACTATTCTACCACTAGACCACTGGTGCGGGATGTAGGCACGGGCATTCCAGAAAAAATCGCACGTTCTCGGCGGCACCGCCTCCGTCCATCCGCTCCAGGGAAGCTAACCTTTCTTTCGCTCTTCTCCCGCAAGCGATCTTCCGGTCTCCGAGGTACGTGTACCTCTGTCTCTCAATCTCTCTCTGCGCTCACCGCTCTCTCCCTGCTCTACGGTTGTTCTCTTCTCCGAGATATCAGTCGCTCTCATCGTCCATCGCCCTTTCTCACTCTGTTTGCCTGTCTCTGTCTGTGTATGTTTATCTGTATCTCCCTCTACGCTATCCCCGTCAACCGCTCTCTCCTGACCAGGGGAAGGAAGGGGCGGGGAGAGGTTTCTCCAGTTAACCATGGGTGCCTCTTTTTAATACTTTCTTGGTGGATTGTTTTGTCGATGAATGCCGGCAGTACTTGAGGGGAGGATGCCGAAGATCAAGACAAGCCGCATCAAGTACCCTGAAGGATGGGAGTTGATCGAGCCCACACTGCGCGAACTTGAGCAGAAGATGAGAGAAGGTTTGCCCTCCTGCGGCTGTCCTTTTTCGTTTTGGTTGGTTTGATATTTCGCGCTGTCCTTACCGTATGCGTGCGACGGACTTTTTGATTCCTCCTCGCGTACGCAGCTCAAAATGATCCACATGATGGCAAGAGGAAGTGCGAGGCTCTGTGGCCGATTTTCAAGATTGCGCATCAGAAGAGCCGTTATATCTATGACCTTTACTTTCGCAGAAAGGAAATTTCGAAGGAGTTGTACGAATTCTGCCTTGATCAAGGCCACGCAGATCGCAACCTAATTGCAAAGTGGAAGAAGGTTTGGATCTTTCTCTCTCTCTCTCTCTCTCTCTCTCTCTCTCTCTCTCTCTCTCTCTCTCTCTCTCTCTCTCTCTATTAAAATTTTTCTTTCATTTTTGCTTTTCGTTAATTAGCCGCCTGCGATATGTCTTTCCTCTTATGACTGTCCTCGAATCAGTTGAGTGGATTGGTGTAAAAAAATACCCTATGGAAGTCATGGGTTTTGCTCAAGGGGCTGCAAGGAGCGCCGAAGGTTGGATTGTATGGAATCTACAGACGGCGTCAGTTCTTCAAAAGAGGTTTTGGCATATTCAAACTTTGCAGAAATTGTCTTATTTAGGAATGTTTAATGAAAGCTAAGCACTATTTCGAGGAAATATGTGCTGGACGCTAGGTCTGTTTTAGGTAGTGCTGCACGTTATCATCTTCGGCTTCCCTGATTATCAGAGGAAGGTGGGTGGTTAACAAAGGGATTTAATTCTCGGGTTTCTTTGTCATCGATGGAGGAATATGGAAGAAATTCTGAACAGTGATTTTCGTATGTGTTATTGATGGTAAAAAGTGTTAAATTTATCATTCAGTCTTGTTTCAAGATATTATGATCTGAGATAGAAGACAAATCAAATAAATTTCTTACTCTCTGTGAATAGCGTCCATGGTGTGACCTGATACCTCACTATCAGGTGGTAACCATCGACATCCTGAAATGGTCTGCGGCTTGTAGTATTGTGTCAGCTATTAATGTACATGTCTCGATCGAGGTTTTAATGGGATTTTGGATGAAGAATCACAAGACCAAGCATTGCGTGAATAAAAGAGTATCCCCTTACGTTTCTAGACTTTATAATGAGAATGGAGGAATTGAGGATAGGGTTTGGCGAAGCAGTCGTAGAAGTGCTTCACTAAATGGCTTTAGTATGCTGGTTGTCAAGAGGGAGAGAAAGATTTTACTAAGAGTTGTACCTGCAAATCACTGTCAGAATGCTAGTTTCCTATGTTGAAGTAGCTGGTGAAAAGGGAGGGGAGATTGGAAAAGCTGGTTATCGTGATTAGAGTTTCCTCCCAGGAAGGTGGTTACCTCCTCAGAGGTAAACTTCATTTTTTATGGCTATTTCTCCCAACTGTGTTTGAGCCTCTCGATGCCAGTATCTTATCCTTCTTGCATCTGGCATTGGCCGAGTGTGAGCGGAAAGTTGAGCAGGGTTCAGGCAGAACCATGGACTCTAGTCCATGTGAGACTGCGTTCCCTCTGTCTTCAATGCAAGACATTAAAAACTAACAGTGAAGGTGGCTGGGATACTGTGTCACTGAATTTGACTCTATTAAGAAGGGAAACTATCAGAGTTGAGGCAAAAGATTCCTCATGGTGAAGCTACATGTGCGATTCATCTTGCTAGCAACACTTTATCGTGAATTTTATGTCATGTTAGAAAGTGGCGAATCTGGGTTAGCGCAATCGTGTCTCTGTAGCATGAAGTTCCTTACTTAGTCAGGATCAAAGAGAGCTAAGGGAACCTTGTTTATTGGAACGAGCAGCAGCTTCACTGCAGATGCTGGAATGTCATCTATAGACTAGAAACTTTCTGGGGAGTATGTCACCTGCGCCTCTGGTACAGACCATCTGCTACAGCTGATAGTTGAAAGAGTATGTCTGTTTTGAAAAGGGAAGTCGGACCATAAAATTTTCATCAGGCCTTGGTTCTCTGTTTCTTATGGTGTTTTTAATATCCTTGTGCACGCAGCAGTAAAAAGAAAACCGGGAGGATGATGACCACCAGAAGGTTCCTCTGAGAGGAAGAGAGGTTAAAATATACTTTTCTTTGTGATTTTTCTCTCTTTTTTCTCATATGATAGCCGCATCATTTTCTCAATTACTGGTCTGATGCGGAATCGATTGATGTTGGTGTGCACTCAATTTGGAGGTGGATGATGCGTTGGATGATTATGGACTTGATTGGACTTGGATCATCCAAGCTGGATATGTTTGTACAAAGAACCCGAAAATCTGTGGAAGAAGTTATTTTTCTATTATTTTCTTTCTCTGAGATGTAGTTATCCTGGTTAAGAGGGAAATTGGGATACAGGAGAGGCCTCTTCCGATCTTCTCATCAGTTTTTAAGTAACTGATGAAGAGAGAGTTACGAGTTCTTCTCTGATGAAGATCGACTTGTCATCCATCTCTCTCCATTTCGTCTTGGAAAGTAGCCGTGTCTTTGCTCCGGTTCTTAATTTGGTATCACATCCCAAGGTTTTTCAAACAATTAGAAAAGGGGTATCAGAGGGTGAACGCACCTCGTCTAGAACACATCAAGCAGGAGATCGTAAGAGTGTCTGATCAATTTATCGGTACATTTCATAAGAGCCCAATTGGGGTGAAAAATATAGTCTCTTGCGGTTTTTCGACTATTGTGTTAGAGTAATCGAGAATTATGTTGGAAGCTCAGTAGAGGGCCATTCAACCTTGTAATCTCATATCATTACGTAGGTTTTACGGCGGTTTGGGCCCAGAGCCTGTTTTCCAGCTTTTTCTCTGAGCCCCCCATTTAATCTTCCCAAAATGGCATTGAACTCCTAACTCTTTGTGGGGTGGAGAGACTGAGGATCCCATGCCAGTTTGCAAATCGGTGCTCTGACTCCTCGTACTTAATCATTTCCCCATTCCAAATCAGACACATGTATGCTTGTTTTAATGCAATCATATCCCTATAGTTCTACTGTGAACATTACTTAATGTATGTATTCCCAGGATTTTGTCCCGGAGGTAATGTCATTGAACCCCTCACCCCTTTTGGGGTGCAGAGACTGAGGATCCCATACCAGTTTGCAAATCGGTGCTCTGACTCCTCGTAATTAATGCTTTCCCCATTTCCAAATCAGAGATATGTATATGCATGTTCGTATGATTTAATGCAATCATCATATCCCTATAGCTTTGCTGTGAACATTACTTAATACATGTATGTTTTTTATATGCCCCCCCCACTCCAATTTAATCTTCCCGGAAGTAATGCCATTGAACCCCTCACCCCTTTGGGGGTGGAGAGACTGAGGATCCCATAGCAGTTTCCGAATTGGTGCCTTCCCCATTCCAAATCAGAGATATGTATATGTATGTTTGTATGCTTCAATGTGATCATGTTCCTATAGTTTTGCTGTGAACATTACTTAATGGGATCATCATGTTCATGGCTGTGCAGCCGGGCTATGAGCGGCTGTGCTGCCTCCGCTGCATGCAGCCGCGGGATCACAACTTCCAGACCACATGCGTCTGCAGGGTCCCCAAGCACCTGAGGGAGGAGAAGGTGATAGAGTGCGTCCACTGTGGCTGCCGAGGATGCGCCAGCGGAGACTGAGGGATTGGACTCCCTCCAATGTCGTTGTGATACATAATCAGGAACTTGATCTCACTACACTTTATCAGACGTTTAATTTCTGTCCTTCGGCTCCTTCTCTCTCTCTCTCTCTCTCTCTCTCTCTCTAGCTCTCTATCTATGTTGAGAATTCATCTATCAAAGGTTTGGACTTTGCTCCCATTCCCGTTTGCTTTACTTCTGGGATGATTCATGTGGGTTTAATCGCTGTTTTCTTATCTGAAGCTCACTGCAGCTCTCTCTCTCTCTCTCTCTCTCTCTCTCTCTCTCTCTCTCTCTCTCCAGGTCCTAGTGGGAAGAGTGAAGAAGAAAGACGCCATCGCTTTCCCTCTCCACCGCACTGCTCCACCCCCAAATCATTTTGTCCGCCATTTTTTTCTTGTGTAAGTGAATATCATAGGATCATAAGTTTTTAATAAATACTATTTTTTGGAACACGATCTCGAATTAACATCCCATTTTCTTATGTTTTTCTATTAATTAATTAAATCATATTTAACAAATAACCATATTTTTCTATCAAATAATCATTTTTTAATTATAATTATATTATAAATATTATATAAAAATCTGACGCGTCGTGATGAAACGGTTTTTTTATTTTAGAAAAATGATAATGGCTTATATAATTCACTTCTTTGTCTGAATGTAAATATGGTCATAACAATAATATTTATTAAGAGTAAATATAAAATTATGGCATTATGTAGGATATGTATGTAAATGATGAGAGAATTTGGGCTGTCCAAAAGCCAAGGTTTTTCTCCCCGAAGCGGGACGGGTTTCCGCCGCGCCGGCGGGCATGCTGAGGTTCAGTGGTAGGCTGCGCCCTTTGGCCGCCGCTGCGGCGGAGTTCGGCGGTGCTTCTTCGGGTCACCTCAGATTCCTCTCTTCTCGTGGCGTTTTGCCTCATCTGCGCGAGCGTGCGCCTTTCCCCCTCGCCCGATCCGTCCTTTTTGAGCCTCCCCCCGCGGGGTCTTCTCGGAGACAATGGGAGGAGCTGATTCGTCCTATGATTTTCTCTCCATTCCAGGTGATCCTTTCCCATCCTCTCAGATACTTCCGAAGTTGCTTGATTCGCCCTTCTGTGGGATGTTGGCTTGTCGATCGTCTTCACTAGCGGTATGATTGTTAGTGACATTGGGGAATGTGGTCTTGCAGTTGTTCCAGAAGAGAGGCCTTGCTTCCAAGGAGCGGCGGTCCAGGGCACCGGCCACCCCTGTGACTTCCAAGGTGAAGAAATACAAGATAAAAGGATACTCGTACGTTACCCCTCTCTCTCTCTCTCTCTCTCTCTCTCTCTCTCTCTCTCTCTCTCTCTCTTCCAGCCTTTTTTTCTGTCTTACTCTGTTGTTGAGTTTTTATCAATCAATACTATGTTCTCAGTATTTTTTCTCCGTGGACTTATATTATATCATGGTTTTACTTTCTGTGCAGATCATTCAAGTCGAGATTTAGGACACTGAATGATGGCAATATCCGGCGATGGAGGGCAGGCAAGAGGCATAATGCTCATCTGAAGGTACTGGGGTGTTGAAATTTCCAAAGCAGCCCTGCTCAGTTGACTTTTCTTCCTCCTATTTCATAAATCTAATTATTTTTTGAGCTACTTTTTAATCTTGGAATGTGGGTTTCCTTCTCTACTCATTTTTTTCTAACTTTAGATCAATATTTCTTCTGCGTCCATGAAAAACCCCTTGCATGATGCTCCTGCTGCTTCTTTCAATGCATGGCAGTATTTTGAGAAGTAATTGCCACTTTGATTGATTTCCTCGTCGTCATTATTTTTCTGGAGATTTTCATCTTTCATGGCCACCATTCATCAGTCTCAGAATCATAGTCTGATAATGATTCATTAGGTAAAAAGTTACAAACCCTAATCTTCATCTTCCATCGGATCTGAATTGATTTCAGTCAAGCTTGTGAACTCGAGAAAAATCAATCTATTTTACCTTTATCTGTAATTAACTAAATTTTTTTAACTTTAAAGTCAGTAGAAATTAATTTTTTTTGTGGGTATGACTGATTGCTATGCCCTGGCTGAGAGATTCTATGCAGCTGCCTAGGTTGATGATCTTGCTTTTATAAAATAATATTCTTTATAATCTACTATGTCTCAATTAATTGGAGTCAAATCTTGCGAGAAAAAAAGAGAGTATATTTTTATCTGTTCATGAGATGCCCTATATTGTTTAATCTGCGCAATCCATTTTTCCAAAAATAGTAATTGATCAGTCATTAATTACTACCTCTTCATGAGCTGAGTAGCTGTTCTCACCCATAATTTTCATCCAAAAACATTGAAACCCAGATGATCGATCATTCAAGTTCATCCGATAGATGGGTAAGATTTTAAGGTAGATGCCCTGGCAGGAGAGATTCCTCTCTTACTAATCATACTATGATTATGATTATGATTATGGTTATGATTACCTGGACTTTTATGGTTGACATCGATCATTCAAGTTCATCTGATAGATGAGCAAGATTCTTACTAATCATGTTATGATTATGATTACGTGGATGCTTATGGTTGACTTTGAGAAACCCAGATGATTTACAGAGGGCATGATGTTTGATGCAGTCGAAGAAGGCGAAGAGGAGGCTGAGGAGGCCCGAGGTGGTGACTAAAGCCTATGCCAAGGTGATGAAGAAGCTCCATTTCTGTGCTTGAGTTCTTCTCCCAGCAGCTGACGCAGATCTTCTCGGCTGTAAACCCCTCCTCTCGTTGGATCTTCTGTGTTGACTTTCTTCAGAAAGAGATGATGCTGCTAGTTTTTCGGACTCTTTTTTCGTTTTTTTTAATTTTCCGTCACATTTTTTTTCTCATATTTCTAATCTTTGATTCAGTTCAACGCTGTTTTTGTTTTGGGGAATCCTGCTTCTTTTGAGAGACTTGAAGGGGATTTGTGCTGTTAATGGGCCGTTAGACCTCAGGTTTTGGACCTTGACCTGATAGGCCCAACATCTCTCTCTCTCTCTCTCTCACTCATCTGGGCTGCTTTTCTTCCAACGGGCTTTATAATTGGGCCCGAAAAGGAAATTATGCTCTATTTGGCCCGCTCCGATCCCCATCAAAGCCTGATCTTTCTATCACTACGCGCTATTTTTTTTTACGCGCCTTCTTGTTGCCACGTGTCTGTCTGTCTGTCTGTCTCTCTCTCTCTCTCTCTCTCTCTTTCTGAGTGCCACGGGGGTCCAATCCAATCATTATTCGGGGCTCCGAGCCGAACCCATCTGCAACCTGGCTCGGGCCGGAGGGCTGTGTTGGGACCCATTGCAGCCCCTTGCCTATCTCAATTGGACATGGGCCCGGCCCGTTCGGACCTACATTTTTTAACTTTATTAGACTTAATATTTTAATTTTTTAGCCCGATTCTGGGTAAATGAACAGAGCTAGAGAGAGAGAGAGAGAGAGAGAGAGAGAGAGAGGAGGGCTCATAGGGAGCGATGTTACCGGGCCGGGCTGGCGTCGATTTTCTAAAGCGGGCGTGATTGACGCCCCTGGCCCGGCCCGGGCTAGTTTTACCTTCGGGCTTGGTTTCGGGCTAAGATCAGGTCCGGACTTCGGGCTTCGGGCTTACGGCCGCCGAATGGGACCCCCCAGGTGATGGCTTCTTCTTCTCGCTGCTAAACTTGGAGGGGGGGTAGCTGGTTTCTCTCTGTCTTCCTGGACTTCTGGAGACCCGCGTCCCTCCCGCCTCCGCTCCTCCCGTGTGGCCGGCCATGGCCAGACGACCGTTACCCTCCCTCTCCCCACGGCCTGACGATCCCCTCCAAGGAAAAAGACCTCGAGTATGGAACGAATCTCCAGAGGAATGTGTACGATCTCTCTTTCTCTCTGGGAAAATCTCACCCTCTTCTTCCTCTCCCTCCTCCGATGATACAGAGAGAGGAGCTTGGGACGAAGAAGACCGGGTTTTCTTGTCTGGGGCTCGAGTTTCTCTTCCTCTCCTCTCATGTCTAGGCCCTTCTCCTCCATGGGCCGGCGCTACCGAGGAGCTCTGGTTTCTCCGGCGAACTGGTAGCATCCTTCTGCGTTCTTGCGATGGGGGACAGGAAGGAGGTGATCCAGGGGGAGAAGACGATGACAGGTTGCAGTGGGGGCTTCCGTGCCCTCTATAACACCGTCTTCGGCCGTCGGACCAGCTCCTCCCCGCGGAAATCGTCCTCCGCCACCGCGACCCCACGCGCGAGCTTCTCCCCGACGGTGAACTCCAAGCGGCGGCGCGGTGGGTCCGATCAGAGCTCCCTCATCGTGCCCCACGTCAACCTGGATTCTCCCGTTTCCCCGGGGAAGTCCAAGATGGCTGTTCAGCAGAAGGTGGTCCAGAGACAACTGGACCTGCCAGTCAGGCCGCCGCCGCCGCCGTCCCGCCCCGTGGCGGCGCCGCCGGTCCCCAGCATATCGGGGGAGCTCGAGAGCGTGATCTACGACCACCAGCGCTCCAAGGAGAGCGGCAACCTCGTCCGCGCCTCTTCCAGCAACGTGATGCTCTTTGGGAACTTGGGCAATCTCAGGTGCGGGAACTCGGCCGCCGCCCCGAGCCGCAACGTGCTCGACTATTTGCCCATGACGGCGAACGAGAAGGAATCGAAGGGGAAAACCAGAAAAGCAGGCTCCGGCGGCGGAGCGCCGCCCAGTGCGACGGCGGGTAAGACCCATAACCCGAAGGAAACGGCGGCGCCGCCAGCGCCGACGACGTGCCGGGTCCTCTCCAAGAGACTAGACCCTGAGGCCCTGAAAGACCTTGGCGACGCGCAGTACGAGAATGGGAGGTTTGCCGAAGCGCTGGCTCTCTACGAGCAGGCGGCCGTGATCAATCCCGAGAAGTCGCTCTACTGGGTCAACAAGGCCGCCGCCAACGCCGGCTTGGGCCGGTTCCTGGAGGCGGCGGCCGATTGCAGGGAGGGCGTGAGGATCGAACCTTCAAATACCAAAGCCCACCTTCGCCTCGCCGCTCTCTATCTAAGGTGAGTCAACCATTCCTCCGCTGGAAATCCATGCCTTTGACCATGACTGGGATTTGAAGTAGCGACGATCTTAGACTTGGGGAGGCGGAGAAGGCGATGCACCACTATAAGCAGGCGGGGAGCGACGCCGGTGACAGGGGCGTGGCGCAGACGAGGTCCCTCCAGAGCCACTTGGCGAAGGTCAACGAGGCCCGCAAGAGGAAGGACTGGCACAGCGTGCTGAAGGAAGCCCAGTTCGCCCTGTCCAGTGGCGCGGATTCAGCTCCTCAGGTCAGCGATCATACTTTCCTCCATGAACTCAGATTGAACTCTAGCTGCGAAGCCTCGCGGATTATTCGGTGCTAGGAAGTCAATAAGTTATTGATGATCATCTCTTGTGTCAACGGCAATTGAATCTATGTTATTAAGTGTACTTCCATCTTCTTGCTGGTCTCAATTCCTTTGAATGACATGATGGGTTGCCAAAGTTCCATGATTGCGTTATAAAAAAGGCACCCGAATTGGTTTTAGTCGCATAGGTCGGCGCTTACCAATCGAATTTCTTCAGCAGAGCAAGAAGTTCTTGGTGGTCAACGCACTCAACTAAAATTGACAACTTTATTCCTTTTTGTTGAGAATGTCACAGATACATGTAATCTCATCGAGTGTTCCATGATCTTGAAGGTTTTTGCCTTGCAAGCGGAGGCTCTCCTGAAGCTCGAACGCTATGAAGAGGCAGAGACTGCTCTCATCGACGCACCCACCTTCGACAGGGATGCGTGCGCCAAGTTCTACGGTTCTTCAGGTGGCGCCTACCTCTTCATGGTCCGATCTCTGGTTGACATGGCTTCTGGGAGGTCAGTTATTGAACACCCACATGAAGAGCTCAGCCAAATTCGCCTTCTTTCTATGAGTATCCTTCAGCGTTCATGCCAATTATAGGTCAGGGCAAGTGCTATTTAGGATCTAATGTCCTCAATTTTCTTGCTACTTGGCCAATTTGCGCCAAGGATTATGGGTCAGTTTCATCTTCTCCGCCTTCTTTCTACAAGAATGCATCAGGATCACGATTGATACAAAGCAAAAACTTTCTATATTTGGCAATTACAGGATATGGCATGGTGTTATTAAGGGTTCAGCTACTTCGATTTTTTTAGTCGCTTTTCACTAATTGTTGACGAGGGCTATCGAGATGGAGCTCTAAAGTGTTGCCATTTTTGTTCCTGTTCGAAGGTTTGATGATGCGGTCACCAATTCTCAGAGGGCGGCCCAACTCGATCCAAGCAACCGGGAAGCGGCTGCTGTGGCTTGGCGGGCCCGTGTGGTTTCATCGGCTAGAACAAAGGGCAACGATCTCTTTAAGGCCTCAAAGTATGGGGAGGCCTGTGTTGCATATGGGGAGGGCCTGGGCCAAGACCCGCAGAACCCCATCCTCCTCTGCAACCGGGCGGCCTGCCGCTCCAAGCTCAGGCAGTGGGAGAAGGCCATCGAAGACTGCAGTCTGGCCCTCAATGTTCGCCCATCCTACACAAAAGCCCGCCTCAGGAGAGCCGACTGCTATGCAAAGGTGACTTCTTTATTATGTGCCCCAGTTTTAATATGAGAGAGAGAGAGAGAGAGAGAGAGAGAGAGAGAGAGAGAGAGAGAGAGAGAGAGAGAGAGAGAGAGAGAGAGAGAGAGAGAGGAGTCTTTACTTACTGTTTTTGAATGTTTTGTTCAGCTGGAAAGGTGGGAAGAATCGGTTCAAGATTATGAGTGGTTGGGCCAAGAGTTGCCAGGAGATGAGGAGGTTCTCAGATCCCTTGCGGAAGTCCATGGCCAAAGGAAGAGGAGAGACGAAGAAAGTGAGTGCAGGAATCCATTTTCCGATCTGGTTGTCGTCAAGACACCCGACCAACTCTCTGATATGACTAAATCAATGGGTATATCTCTAAATCATCTCCTTAACTGTCTTCCAATTACTCCAATCGGCAGCTCGGTTCTTGTTTTCAATGAATGGAATTAACCAAGACTATGATGTTGGTCATTTTTTTGGCTCATTTCACTGAACTGATGTCAATTCCGAAATTATTTCTTTAATTGTCTTCAAATTGCCCATATTAGTATTTTTGGGTTCTGTTTTATCTGGAAATAATTCGCCAAATGACAACTTTTAATGACTTATTTTTGCATCCTATCAGCTAAATGATTGATTAGTTGGCCCAAGAATTTCCGTAATATGTCTTCAAATTACCCAGACTAGTAATTCGGGTTCGGATCAGAGAATCAGTCTGATTGTAAATTTCGTGAATTTTTTGGGTAATTTCTTTGTGGCAGGAACATATGTGGTGTTCTTTGGTGATAAAGAGAGCAAAACCAGGCAAATATCAGACTTTCTGGTGCAGCTTCGCAAAAAACACCCCTCGGTTCACTTTGTTGAGGTATCATCAATATTTTGATATGTGCCAATAAAATATAAATTAATCGAAAATTTTAATTTCTGTGGTTTTTCTAAGTTTTTTGATGTGTGATCCTGTCATTATTATATTTTCAAGTATATTTTAAATATCGCGAAAAATATTCATTTACATGGTTTTTACAATTTCTTAGGCTGTATAATCGATTATCCTTTCATTTTTTAATATTTTATAATGAAACATAGATTTTCTTTCGATGTTTTTTCCTAGTTTTTTGGAGGAATGAGGGACTCATTTTATAATTGATAAAAATATAAATTTAATCGAAGATTTTAATTTCGAAGGTTTCTCTCAATCTTTTCTGGCCACAATCAATGATCATATTATGTTGTTATTTTCAGATAAATTATAAATTTCAGGGAAAATATTCACTGGACTTCGAAAAGGAAATGATCATATCCCGATCCATTGAGCAATAATGTATTTTTTTTTCAGAGAAATCTTCAAAATACCCAAAAAATAGTTTCTACTTTGATCTTCATTCATGAATCTATCCATCATATTTTCTTCAAAAGAGAAAATCCTCAAAAAACTGAGAAAAATCTGTCCAAAAGTATATATGGGGATTTAAACACACATGCACCCAAGCTCCACTCAGAGACATCACCAGTAGCGTGAGAGAGGGGGGGGGGGGAGAGAGAGAGAGAGAGGGATTTTGGGTCAGACCGATATCAAAGGGCTCTCTGACTGCATAAAGCTTGTGATTGATGCAGGTGGACAAGGAAGACAACCCGAAGCTGGCGCGCTCGGAAGGCCCAGGTCCCCTGCCGGCGTTTAGAATATACAAGGACGGCTCTTTGATCAAAGACCTCGACAGACCCGAGCTCGGCCTTCTGGAGAGCTCCCTGAGAAGTCTCCAGTAGCTGGACTGACGACACGCCTCCGATTTCCGTGGACCGAGATGAGAGAGAGAGAGAGAGAGAGAGAGAGAGAGAGAGAGAGAGAGAGAGAGAGAGAGAGAGAGAGAGAGAGAGAGAGAGAGAGAGAGAGAGAAGCTGTAAATCACATGCACTGTCCACCTTATGTCTCACCCCTTCCATGCGAATGAGGTCCCGGTAATGTTCTTGGATGTATGTGGATGGTTTCAGCCTTACACAGCTGTTGTTAGTTGCACAGCAGGGCCCCGCTTTTTTAATAAATATTTTATTTTATTTGTGGATCTTATCTTTTAGGAGATTTGATATTGAGAGAGAGAGAGAGAGAGCTGTAGTTATTTGAGATGATAAATTCTCCTCCTCTTGTTAACTTCTAGAGAGAGAATTGTGAATATTTGAGAAGAAGAGCTCTCTCCCTCTTGTTTGTCGTCTATGGAAAGAGAGATAATGAGAGAGAGAGCTGTGGTTTTCATCTTCCGCAGAAAGAGAGAGAGAGAGTTCTTTGATATAATGTGCTCTATCCCTCTTGTTTTAACTTCTACAGAAAGAGAGAGAGAGAGAGAGAGAGAGAGAGAGAGAGAGAGAGAGAGAGAGAGTAGGCTCGTGGCTGTCAATCTGGTCTGGTGTCTCTTCCTACTGCTCTCTCTCTCTCTCACACACACAAACCGAGGTTTGGTCGGTGTGATTTCACGTGCTTCGTGCTTCCTGCCTCGTGCCCCACGTTCTTAGCCAAGGTCAAAATGGTGCCGCTTTAGACCTGGGGTCGCCGTTTCTGCACGTTGAACCCATTAATCATTTTTTGTCTCCGCACGATGCATCGCACGGCCCTCATTCGGCCGCGTCAAGAGCCGCCCTGGGCGATCCGCCTGTGGGTCCCACGAGATAGATCAATAATTTCAGATCGGGCTCCGTTGTTACCATTCCAAACTGGCAGTCTTTCTCTCTTCTGGCCTCTTTATGACCCCGAGCTTCTCCTCTGCCCCGCCGGAGGAAAGTGGCCGGAGGATAAACTTTCCTTTCCGGCGCTGTTACTGTTCTGCTCTGGCTGTCCGCTCCGATAATGGCGTCCGAGAGCTTCGACCCCGAGCGGCCGGATGCGTTGCTCGCCTCTAAGGGCCATGAGAGGGATGTAAGCATTCCTGATTTGGTCTTCAATCTTTCTCAGATTTTAACGGATAATTGTAGCTTTTTTTTTGTGTGGAATGTGATTTTCAAGTAACGGATCGTAGTGTGATAAGGTTTTCTGCGAATTCAGTTTTGTCGGGTTTGTCAGACGAATTTTTCCCTTGATTATTCTTGTAAAATCGATTTACTAGGCTTTGTGTCTTGTTATTACGAGCAATCAATCGTGTAGAATTTATCACATTCTTTTTTCAAATGGTAACGTAGTTTTGATACGTTCGTGTTCTTCCCTCTTTCGAACTTAACTAGGGATCTAGAGGGGCCGAGATTGATGCAACCAGGGAACCCCTGCTGGATAGGAGCATTTCCTGCGAGAGCTACTCTGTCAAGGCTGCTGTCCTTCCGTAAGCAGTGAATTTCCTGTTGGAGTTGACATTTTTGTTGCTTGCAGTTGAAATAAACGTAGGGTTTTACAATTGTAATTCGTCTTCCGTTAGGTTTCTATTCCCAGCTCTCGGAGGACTCCTGTATGGCTATGACATTGGTGCCACATCCGGTGCGACGATTTCTCTGGAGGTACGTGTCGTGGACTAATTTCTCTTGAATTAGAGTACTGATTGAACTAACTTGTGCGCTCGAAGTTGGTTGGAAGTCACGTTCTCTGGCTTATCTGTCATTGTGCGTGATTTTCATTGTGAACAATGATGTACTGGGTGTTGGTCGTCCGCAACAACGCTAAATCAAACTTGTTTTCTCCAATGGAGAACTATAGGGTTAGACTCTGGTGACGAGGACAGAGTTCAAGTGAGCTTCTAACCGAAGAGTGTGTTAGTGGACTGAGGTTTGGCCAAGATCGATACAAAAGAGACGGGAAAGTTTAATTTTGATGAATAACTGGCATTTAGTTTTTTTATTGTTTTGTTTATGATAGTTAATTTGAAAAATAAGAATGGTGGAGATGAGAACAAAGTGCAGTTGAGTTTATGAGATAATGAGAATGCATGAGAATGGCATACAAAAACAAGCTAAAAGTGACAATCTGATGATCTGTTGTGAAGATTTAGAATCAGATCCTTGAAAAATACGATAGACGCAAATATACTTGGGGGATGCACGAAATAATGTCCGCTGGTTGCCAGAATGTGGAAATAACATCTGTTGTAGTGTGTTCATGCTCAACATAGATTGTACAATATGGGCCTTGGATGTATAATTTGCCTCTGCCGGTTGACATGGGTACGAGAGATCAGAGTGGTTAGTTAACAAAAAATAAGGTATTGTCTTTTTCTTTTGGTTTACCAACCAAGAATTTTTTCTTTGCAGTCTTCAACTCTAAGTGGAACATCATGGTATGACTTGTCCACAGTTGAGATTGGGCTCCAGGTTAGTTAACCTGTAGATCCTAGGCTCCTAGCGTCAGATTATCACATCTTTTCATTAAAATTTAGTTTCATCTACTTACTGATTACTATACATGGAATTTTCAGGTTAGTGGGTCATTGTATGGTGCGTTGATTGGTTCTTCTCTGGCATTTACTGTTGCTGACTTTTTAGGTTTGTTCATTTCTTTTTATCTTTAAGTTATCATATTTGCTTTTTTTTTTTAATAGAATATGAAATCACGATCAATATTGCAGGAAGACGAAGGGAATTATTGACTGCCTCCATGCTCTATCTTTTCGGGGCGCTGCTGACAGCATTTGCGCCCAATTTTCCTGTGTTGGTGGTCGGACGCTTTATTTTTGGTATTGGAATTGGACTGGTATATGATGGCTCGCCATTTCCACTTTTCAATTTTCTGTTCTTCCCTGACCTCTTTATCACTAATAAGAGTACTCGATTATTTTTAATCTTCTGGGATAATTGTTCTAGCTACGATTCATCTTTTCCTATGCTGGTTTGGTCCTTGACTATATTTGCATTAGTAATCAGTATCTGCCTTGCGATTCTCCATTTGAAAACTTTAAAATGGCGTTTTCTTTTCCACGAATGAGTCAATTGATCATTTAACCCTTTTGATAAAACTAAACACAGGCGAGGTCCGAAACAAATTATATGTCACGAGAGCTCCAAGGGTTCTACACAAGAAGAATTGATTGTCATGTTCTATTTATTATAATATTTCCAAATTTATACACATTCGTAGATGCCATAAGTTTCTGAGGATATGAAGCATGTGAGCCTGTCTTAAAACACCAGGGATAGTTATATCTAGCGTCCACAAATCCTGAGCTTTTTGAATTTGTCTGGAATGTTTAAACTATAGAACCACGATAGTCGCCTGAATGTGGCTTACCCCTTGCTTCACATGCGTTTTTATGACAGTAGTCCCGAAACTTGCATCGGTTGGTTTTCCTACCAGAGTGTCGTAATTTTTCTGACTTTAGGACGCTATCTTAGGGACAGATGAACTGATTGCATGATGCATGATGCATGATGCATGATGCATGATCAGGAGGAGCGAAATAAATAAGCGTCTATAACTCAGGGAAGAAACTTTATCCACCCTATCTCTCCACTTCTCTTCTTCTGTTCTCGTCATTTCCCTTTTGCCTATTTCTGTCTGAAGCCAACTTCCATCGTTACCTTGTCTCTGCAATTAGTCTCCCACCGTTCAGTTCCAGATTTATCAACCTGCTTGAAACATGATGTGTCCTTGGGTTCAGGTTCATTTGGTGTTTCAATAAAGTACATAGGGGGGCAGCCTCACCATATCATGAATTTACGAATGCCCCCCCCCCCCCTGCTCCTTTCCTTCCTCCTACCATATCCTCCTTGTATCAAGGCGAAATAGAATCGGCATGAGCTAAATTGCTTCTCGATCTGGCCTGTTGGGGAATTTTCTGACCGAATCAGGCAACAATTTAGTTCACATGTATTTTTATTTTCTTTCTCATATATGGAGACAGTACTATGCACGTTTGATCCTCTTTAGACTTTTTTGCTTAATGCATTATGAATTTAATCCTAGTTTCTTTCATATGATAACATGCAACCTTATATTTCAAATAATCATTAACCATGCACTTTAGTCAAATGATCTTATGAATAAGGTACCTGACAATATATTATTATTAAACGGGTAAAATTATGAATTATATGCATTCTTTAATTTCCCCAGGCCATGCATGCTGCTCCAATGTACATCGCCGAGACTTCACCCAGTCAAATCCGAGGCAGGCTCATCTCTCTGAAGGAGCTTTTCATAGTCTTCGGAATGCTTGTAAGTCCAAGCCTGCATTGTGTTATGGCACTAATAGATCCTTCATACGCTTGACGTTTGATCTTGCTCTCCAGTTAGGTTATGTGACCAGCAATATCTACGTGGAGAAGGTTTCTGGATGGCGTTATATGTATGCTTCCAGCGCCCCAATTGCTTTGATCATGGGCATTGGAATGTGGTGCTTGCCTCCATCCCCTCGCTGGCTTCTTCTCTGTGCCATACAGGGAAAAGGAAATACAGACGGTGCAAAAGAAAACGCTGTTGGCTGCCTCTGCCGCCTCAGGGGGCGACCTCACGATGCTTCATCTTATGAGGAGATCGACGGGATCTTGGCTGAGCTCTCTTACACGGGTGATGAGAAAGAAGCGGGTTTCAGGGAGATCTTCCAAGGAAAATGCTTGAAAGCCTTGATCATTGGTGTAGGATTGGTCTTCTTCCAGCAGGTAGGGAGCTTTTCTGCGCAATAATTCACAGATTTTACTTGCTATTTTCCAATGGGAGGAGGCTATTATTCCAAAAATATCATCAAATTCTATTTTCGGCAGATTTTTGTCTAAGAATTTCATCTGAATTCATCAGGTAACCGGGCAGCCAAGCGTCCTATATTATGCAGCCACTATCCTTAAGGTAAGGAGTTGTGTTGAAGACTGGAAGGCATCTGTTCTTCACCATCGTTCTAACTGATCCGATTTTGTTGGCAGAGCGCAGGGTTTTCCGCCGCATCTGATGCCACCCGTGTCTCAATTCTTCTGGGCTTATTAAAGGTTGGCAAGATTATTGAAGATTTTTTTTTTTAATCTCATATTATCTGATTTCTTAGTAACCAAGAAATTTCTGCCTATTATATATTGGTATTAAAAAAAAAGTCAACGATTGATCCAAATATCTTGCATCCTTCGCAGTTGATCATGACAGGAGTCGCTGTTCTTCTGGTTGACCGGCTTGGCCGAAGGCCTCTGCTGCTCGGAGGCGTCTCTGGTATTGTAAGTGTCCCACTTAAACCAATTTCTCTCTATCTCTCTCTCTCTCTCTCTCTCTCTCTCTCTCTCTCTCTCTCTCTCTCACTCTTCTCGAGAGAGAGAGAGAGTATTGTGATGGATGAACTCTGGCTCAAGTCCTTTGTCTTAAATTCTCCTGCAGGCGGTATCGCTGTTCCTGCTGTCCTCATACTACGTGGTTCTCAATAATGTACCTATTGTAGCCGTTATCGCCCTGCTGTTATACGTCGGCTGTTACCAGGTACGCAAGTTTCCTTCCTGCACTTTCTACTGTGTGTGTGGTGGGGGAGGAAGGGGACAACGGGCTTTGGGCCGGATCTCTTCTGAGCCCGGGCCAAAATAATATGAAAACGCTAGTTAGAAAAAAATGTATTATTTAATTATTAAACCATAAGTTATGGGCCTGCAGCTATCTTTCGGGCCCATCGGCTGGCTGATGATCTCGGAGGTATTCCCTCTGCGCTTGAGAGGGCGTGGACTGAGCATTGCTGTCCTGGTCAACTTCGCCTCAAATGCCCTGGTCACTTTTGCATTTTCACCCCTGGAGGTATTCTTTCTTTCCCCATTTTATTTCTTCCTTTTTTTTATAATACCAAAAAATCGTGCTTGAGTGGAGCACAGCGGGCCATGCATCTGGGCCCTAAAGTGGGTTCAGGCCCGAACTCACACGAAGCACAGATAGAGAGAGAGGAGAGAAACTGGTTTTCTAGCTCTGGGCCGAAAGTCTGGGCCTCTTTATATTTTCCAAGCCCATAAAAAAACGGGCCGGGCCCAGATCCTAGGGTGATGACACTGAGCGGCCCGATTTGTGGCTACAGGATTTGGTGGGGACCGCAGCTTTGTTCGGGGGCTTCGGGGTGATTGCTGTTCTCTCTCTGGTCTTCATCTTCTTCGTCGTCCCGGAGACCAGAGGGCTCACTCTAGAGGAGATCGAGGCCAAGATACTGTAGCTTCCTCCCCCCCTTCAACCACTTGAGCCCTTTCTGGTATTAATTTTATCAACAATAAGCACTTGACAAGTGTCCTAATTAGTTACATTATTTTAATTTAATATTTACATACTTATAATAATAATAATAATATTTTAAAAATACTCACCCGTACGATATTTACTAAATTATTCTCTCGTATGAGTGAGAAAGCTTTGGCAGCGAAGAATTTGTCTATACACCTGTATATTTATTTTAATAATAATAATTACATGACATTAATTAAATTACATGCGATGTACGAGTCTTTTCCGATATTTAGATTAATATTTAAATACTGATTATAATTATTTATTCATTTTTTTCAAATATTAAAGCGTACGATATTTGCTAAATTCTTCTCTCTTATGAGTGAGAAAGCTTTGGCAGCGAGGAATCTGTCTACACAAATTGGATATTTATTTTTAATAATAATAATGAATGCATGGTTCTTTTATAAAGACGGAGAGAATACTATTATAGTTTGAGCGGAAGTGAGAGTCCATTGGAGGGCCCATATATCTTTTAATGGGCTGTTAGAAATATTACTCTTATTGGGTCGATGCCCATAATATGGGCCCAATTAAAGCTTTGTTCCTTATTGGGCTTATAGGTAGAGCGAAACCCCGGAGAGGCCACCCACTGGAGACAGCTGATTAAAAGAGGCGCAGGCCACGTTGATGGGGAGTTAGGGTTTTTGGAGCAGGTAGGAAGAGGAAGCGTGGGTAGAGAGAGGGCAGAGACGATGACGAAGTACAATGTGGTGACGAAGGCGAAGAGGGCGGAGATCCAAGAGCGGAAGCGTGCTATCCGCGGTGAGCCCGGGACGGGGAAGCTGAAGCAGAAGCAGGACAACTACATTCCAGTCTCTGGCAAGCGCAAGCGCAAGCTGGTCAATAAATGGCGCAGGGTCCGCTCTCTCTCTCACTCGATCTCGATATTCCTCTCTCTTCAAGATTTAGAGTACGATACGCGTTGAATACTGGTGCTATTTTCTGATTTATTGGTTCTTCCTATATTCTTCCGAAATTTTCCCAGGACCAGAAGGAGGCTCTACAGAAGGGCTTGATAAGTATGGAAGACGTAGAGATGGCAGTAGCCCAAGGTAGTTTTTCTATCTCATTTTCATTAAAGTTATCGTGGATGCTTGTTCTTGATCCCCCTGCCGCTTTTTATCTACTTGAAACCTCTATTGTCCGAATTTATATTGATTTATCTAACCTTCTTCAAGAATCTTCAATTTTATTGATCGCGTTAAGTCGAAGGGTTTTTAATGTTATAACCTCTAAACCAAAGAAAATCTGAAGGGTTTCTATATTGTATAAAGGGGTTTAGGCTTATGAAGGATCTGTTGGAGATAAATCAAGATGCAGTTTACTTCGACCTCAGGAGGAGAAAACGAACATAGGATAGTGTGTGACGCGGCCATTTTTCTAGATTTTTTTTTCATTGGTACATTACATGTATTATACTCGTTAGCATTTTCCCCCCTCCTTTTCTTATTACACTTAAGATAAAAAGGATATTTTTTCATTTTTTATTGCATCCGACGATCTCAGCCTAATAGACTTCTTATCGACAATCTTTTGATGCAGTTCACTAGCTTCTAGCTTCTAGCTTCTTAAAGCATGTATACTAGTGGATTGACCGCATATTATACTCTCGCACATATATTTTTCCTATGTTATCAGTAGGAAAATTTGCGAAGGGATCAAGATGAAAGCATGCCTTGATCACTTGATTCTTTGCTGATTCTTTCGCAGTGTCTTTTTTTTTCTTTTTTGGCCACCGTCCACGCCTTCATTCCAAGTTTGCTAATGACATTCTCCATAGGCAGCAGCGAGAGAGATACAATGGCCGGTATAGTGAGTGAGAGAGTGAGCGGAGAGAGAAAGAGACAGTGACATGGGATAGACAGTGAAGAGGAAAATCCTGGAAAGGGTCATGGAGCGAGGTGAAGGGGGACAAAGGAGAGAGAGCAGGACATTGTAAGAGAAAAATGATGAGATAAAGCGGGCAGAGATATTAAACACTAGTAATAGATTCTGAGAGGAGAATGATGGTCTGTGATTTACTCCTTTTCCTGCACTTCTCAGTCAGCTCAATCAAGCATACGCTTCACGTGACTCTCTTGAACAATTGTTCTTTAAAGAAAATGCTTATGCTCTTATCTCTGATGTCCAGGGACTTCTAAAAATACCAGCTCCAAACCCCAAATGAAGTTTCCGCTGAGGAAAGGGGCCAAGCTGAGGATTAAGAACTCAAAGAGTAAAGGTATGCACTTCATCTCTCACCAAGAGCTCTCTCTCTATTAATGGGTAAACCAGAGAAATTCCTTCTCATCAACCAGTTTTTTGGTGTAGTAGTCCCCAATGCTTGACTTTTATTGTCATCCAGCCTGCTAGCCGATAGTGTTCTCTGGGTCCAGGCTGAACCTGCTTCTCTGGGTCTTGCTGGGGTCCAGTCAAAGACCCAGCCCACTGACACCCCTCAGACCCGTCTGATATCATTCACTGGGGAATTCTTCTTCCTGGTGATGAGAATCTTCATTTTATTATCATTTCACGTGCATTATTAGCTTACAAACTTGTGGTCTCTGTTTCCTCTGGCATCATCGACGGAGTATTCTGTTTCTTAATTATAATCTTCTTTATATGATCATCTGACGTCTGATTGTTTATTAGCTTGCAAGCTGGTGAAGGTCTTTGAAACTACTCCCTCTTCTTATCCCTCTAATACCATCTACTGGGTATTCTATTTTATGGTTTTTATCTTCTATTTATGATCTAACATCTGATTGTTTACCCATTCTTCAGGGCAAAGACCTCTGATTCTCGCTAATACCATCCACCATGGTATTCTTCCTTTTTATAATCGTAATCTTCGATTTAGTACCTTTCAAGCCCATGAAGATCGTTGACTTTTCTCTCTCTTGTAACCCTTCAACATCGTCCGCTGGGGATTATTTTGTGATAGTTAGAATACATGTTTTATGGTCATTTAGCGTCTGATTATTTTATAACATTATCTGCTGTGTATATTCCTTTTTGTAGTAATCTCTTTTTTATGATCTCCTAACGTTTGATCATTAACTTGCTAATTAAGACTCTCTCTCTCTCTCTCTCTCTCTCTACCTCTGTCTATCCTTCAGGTAAGCGCAGGAAAGGGCACAGTAAGGCAGCTGCGACGGAGACCCTTGCTGAAGCCATGCAGGAATGAGGACAGATCTTCCTGCGGACATGGAGCAAGTGTTTCTCTCCACGTTTGCTCGGGATTTCTAGGGTGGTAATGTCATTGTGTAATTCTGTCTTAACCACAGTGTCTATGTAAAATTTCAATCATTTGCAACCTTTGGCCACGTGTCATAGTTAAGATCTTGCCACGTTCACCGGACCCTGGTTGTGTGCCCAGATGGGCCACCCGCCTCCCACGGTGTCCGACCTCGCTCGTGGGCCACACCAGCTCCCCCGGGGTTAGTGAATGTCTTCTGATGGCCCACTATGTTAGCGGGCCCAGACTAGTCCATTGGGCGGTATTGTGGGCCGTCTTTTTACACCAGCTGCTCCGTCGGTCACCGGCCATGGGACTTGTCACTAAAATCTCTGACAAATTTTAACTACAAGGAGGGGCACGTACGCATATAAACATCTAATGATGATGCACGACAATATGATCTAAACGAGCGTGTCGTAATGATAAAACCCATGCCGACACAATGAATCCCAGTGGCTTTTCCGTAAATCTTAAGAAATGTTGTGGCAAATGGAAAGGGCGGGCAGAATCGAAGTGGAAAAGCCAAAAAAGGTGCTGAGTCATCATTTAAAGAGCGAAGTACCTTTTTGTTCAACTGTCCCTCGGGATAATTTTGAATGCGCAGAGTGATGTTTCCTCGTATTTCGAGCTCCAATGAGAAGCGGACACGTCGAGACTGCCGCCTTCGCTAAGCGACACCAGAACGATCTCTTGCGTAACGCTTCATCCTCGGGATGAGAGCATCCCCCCCCCCAGCTCCCCCGCAGAAGGTGGCCGCAGAAAGCGGTCTACGCGCTGTCAGAGATTCCCCGCAGAACCCCGCGGTCATATCACCACCCCACCTCTCTCTTGCTCTCTCTCTCTCCCCCCATAGACTCTCTCACTCTGAGCTCTACCATCTTTCCTCTCTTGCTCTCTCTCTCTCTCTCTCTACAGTCTACGCTCTCTCTCTCTCTCTCTCCCTGCGCTCTAAGTTGTTTCCACCTAACTCGACATACCTGGACTCTCTTGCTCTCTATCTCTCTCGGCATATTCTCTTTCATTCTCTCTTTCTACAGCGGGAATTTATACGAGTCCCGGCTGTTTGTTTGCGTCTTGACGCCACCGCAAACTCCCATCCCGATTTCCTTCTATAGCTGATTCCTTTCTCCTGCCGGCATTCTCTCCCCCCACCCCGGCAATCCCCACTTCCAGAGAGCTGCAAAGGTCCTCCTGCTGGCCCTTCCATGGCGACAGTGGGTGACATTGCGGTCTCCGCCTTCGTGAACGTTCTTCTCTGGTTTATCTTCCTCGCGGCATTCGCGTTCATGAGGATCCAGCCGGTGAACGACAGGGTGTACTTCCCCAAGTTGTATCTTAGCGCGGGACGGAGGAACCCGAGGTCGGGGGAGACCAATTGGGTGTGGAAGCACTTTAGCCTCAACGTCTGGTCATGGATACGCGCTTTCCTCGGGTGGATGCCGGAGGCGCTGAGGACGAGCCAGGCTAATGTCATCCGGGACGCCGGGCTCGACTCCGCCGTCTACCTCCGGATCTACATTCTCGGGTAGTGAAGATCACTCCCACTGAATTCAGCATTTATGTTCTTTATTATTTGAGGTTTTGTTAATGAAGTTCCCTTCACTGGTTTTTTTCCGTTGATTAAGACGTTCATTTTTGTTTGTCTTTGTCGTGCAAGTTACTGCAGGGTTTGTGTCAGATAGTTACCGAGCTCATTTTGTAAGCATCTAGATTTCATTTGGTTCTACCTTCCAACAAATCTCTCTTTTACATTTATTCTTTTCAGAAAACTCGAAATGCGAGCAATTAGTACGCAAAAATATTTGTTCATTGTATTATTATTCAGAAGGATGAACTTTTCTTCCACTGTAAAATTGTAAAATGCTACTGCATCGTCATTCTCAGATGTATATAACTGGGCCACCCTCCACGTCCAGGGAGGTGGGGGAGAAGAATGAATTCTTATATGAAGTAGAAATGCGGGGCAATGCCTGCCGCTTCAGGGTTTTGTTAATGAAAAAAGAAAATTAATGAGCTGACAGCTAAGTGTTGCTGTGGTTTTTGCTTTTGTCTTACCCTGTCACTTGTGGGAATGCTCCTGTTCCAAAAAATCAGAATTTAAGTTGAAAATCATGGATTTCTGTCCTCGTTCGTATGCTAACGTCCTACACAGCATCACCATATACTAACAGGGTACTTATTGCGGATAAGATTTTGCGCTTTCACCTCTCTTTGTATCATTATGTGCTTTCTGGGAGGCATAATGATTTTTGAGGACGAGCAATGTTCTCTTTATAGCTTTTATGCACATCTTTAATTAGCTTCTCCATAATGTACTGTTATAAATTTTTGGTTCACAATGAGGGCTCTATTGCTCAAACTGCTTCAGGCACTGAAATCTATTTTGTTAACAGATTCAAGATTTTTGTACCAATAACACTCCTAGCACTCTTGGTTCTTATTCCAGTGAACGCATCTGGTGGAACATTATTTAATATGACAAGCAAGATCGTTTCAAGTGACATTGATAAACTTTCTATTTCAAATGTTGGTGAAGGATCTCAACGGTTAGTCTTAAAATTCATTCATTATTTGCTAAGCGGAGCCTGTTTATTTTTCTGTTCGAGATATGCTTTCTTTACGTAATGTATAAAATTTTGAAAAACATCATCCTTGAACACCTAAAAAAAAAAACAGAATTTAAATGACTCGCATCAATCTAAAATTTTGCGTAGCCTCTACAGTAGTCGTGGTTTGACGCAAATGATCCTCAAACCCTGAAAGGGAGAATATTTCCAGACAAAGGCGTTTTTCTTGTCTGAGGACTCTTTTGCGGATCATTTGTCCCCATCATAGAATCCACTCGCGTAGCCGTAATGCATTATCTTTGTTGTTGCATTGCCACTTTTCTCGTTTATGCAACGTGACCTTATATTTAAATTTTGTGGTTGACTAATTGGTTATTCGTTGGTTGCTACAAAGTTACCATTTTCTTATCCATCTCATTCTGCCTGGTAAGTAATGATTTATTCTAAATATGCCAGACAATATATCCATAAATTCTTACGATTTTGTTCATGTCTCTTGATCAGTGCTGTATATCTCCCGTTCAGATCTATATAGCATTCTAACAAGACATTTTTCCAATTTCAGGCTTTGGGTTCATATATTTATGACGTACTTGTTCACAATCTGGGCTTGCTATGTGCTGTACATGGAGTACGGAAATATAGCATTTATGAGATTACATTTCTTATCCTCTCAACGTAGAAGCGTTGACCAGTTTACGGTATGCGTTGGATAAAAGAATAAAATATTCTGTATATCCTTTTTAAAGAAAAAGGGGATGCCTATGCACCTCTAATCCTCCCAAGTAACACCTGCACTACCTGAATTATAACATATACATCGCTTGAATTGTGATGATCTTTTTTCTTTTCTTCCGACAGTGATAAGAAGCTAGTGCTAAATTTTGACCGGATTTATCTTAGGTTTATAAATGTTGGCCCATCCACACCCCTAATGACTGGAGCCACTTCCATCGCATACTGTGAACTATACTATTTCTATATGTATGATCTGCAAAGTTCCAGAGATAATCTTTTTTTCCTCACTGAATTTACGTCCTTTCTTCCGCATTTTCTTTTATCCTTGTTAGATTTTCGTGGAAGTTTTTTTAAACTATTTAAACTCTGTAATAAGATGCAAAATCATTTATCAACTTTCAACCCGTAATATAACCGAATGGATGGGACTGCAGAGGCAAATTCCCAAGTTCTTATTGTCACTTGCCTGTATTTTTTTCACAATCGAGAAAAAAAACATGGAATTAGAGAAAAACCTGCTTTTAAAATATTTCTATTACTAAGATATCTGTCTACTTAGATTCTGAAATAAAATATTTTCTGGGGATAAAATTAGTCAAAATTCCACAGATATAGGCAGAGACTGGAAAATGGGTTCGGAGGAGTATCAAGCATGTTATTCTTCATTAATTAAAATTTTGAACTAAATTTACCGACCTTGGATCAGCTAGTCTCTGGGTACCATAGACCCAAAATTGTTTTTTTTCTTGTCTACATTTTATAAAGAAAACAGTTGAAAGGTTCCGACAATCATGTCTTGAAACCTGAATAATATGCTCCACTGATTGCTCTTTCCAATTACTTTTCCCCGTTATTATATTTCTTGTGGAGATCGAGTATAACCTTAATGCACTACATCAATATTTTCCCTTGAAATTGTGTCGGTAACATCTGCATCTGGAGATTTAAGAGTGCATATTGTTTGGAATCACTGCGTATTTTGTCGCCTTTCATAGCGATCTCCATCGCAGTTATGTACTCTGTTCAGTTCTCTGTACGTCTTCTCTATCTCGCTCTATATCAATTAATCCAAAATAGTTCCTGCACTCATTCATCACAGATTTACCAGGTATCAAGTTTTATCTTGAAAACACAATACATTTCCCTGATTCCTTTCTTTTGTTGGCTTCACTTGTTGCCGGATGTTCCTGGGTTTTAAAAATTTCTTAGAGCATTGTCTTTTTTTCTATCATGTTCTTTGCAGTGTCAAATGAAAATTTGAAGATGGGGTGCATATTTTTAATGAAATTATAATATGCGTTCAATCTTGAAACTTAAATTTGTGATAGTTGGATAGTCACTGGGTGGCCTAAGTGAATTGGATAATATTTATCAATTTACTCGAACTCTTAGAAATACCATTTTGATCATTTCCTCTTAACCTTAAAGATTTATTTTTATGCTTATGGGGGCCATATCCTTTCAGGTTGCGGTCAGGAATGTGCCTTCAGTCGGTGGGCATTCAATACCAGAGAGCGTGGACAGTTTCTTTAAAAGAAACCACCCTGACCATTATCTTGGCCACCAGGTAGATCTCATAATGTCATTATGAATATTCTATGCATTAATTTTGATGATCTTATAAAGACCACTCTGTGCATTAATCTTATAGTATCCCGATCCCTCCTGAATTAAATTAGCTTCGTAGTGATCCTGTAAGCTTCTTATGATCAGGCTGTTTACAATGCAAACAAAATTTCTAAGCTGATGAAGAAAAAGGAAGGACTCCAAAATTGGCTCGATTATTATCAGCTTAAATTTGAAAGGTACCCAGGTAGAAAACCGACGAAAAAGGTAATTTTTTTTACGGTCAATTTGTTATCCATTGTTTCAGTTGACCTTTTAAATATTCTCTTTAAAATAGATTGTCATATACGAGTATTTTCTTTTAATTTCATCTTTCAGAGTGGTTTTCTTGGCCTTTGGGGTGAAAGGGTAGATACAATTGCGTACTACAAAGAAAAGATTAATGAGATTGATAAAAAGGTAAATCCTGACCATTCTTAAATGAGATTTTGCGACTTATTTCCATTCCCTGTCACACAGCAAAGTTGAAAAAAGCCCAATTTCAATTATTCTTGAGATTTTTTCAGATATTATCCCTGTTTGATCTATCCTGGAATTTACTTTCATCACATTTCAGATAGCTTTTCAACGCCAAAGGATTCTGAAAGATCCAAAGGCCGTTCTCCCGGTGGCATTTGTTGTATTTGATTCTCGATGGGCAGCTGCTGTTTGTGCACAGACACAACAGAGCAAGAATCCGACCCAATGGTTAACCAGCTGGGCACCAGAGCCTCGTGATGTATATTGGCAGAATTTAGCAATACCACTTGTTTCTCTCAACATCCGGAGGCTTGTGGTATCAGTGTTAGTCTTCGCACTGATTTTCTTCTACATGATCCCCATTGCTTTCGTGCAATCATTAGCAAATCTTGAAGGTCTGGAGAAGGTCGCCCCGTTTCTCAGACCAGTGATAGAACTGTAAGTTGTTCACTTTCCGCCTGATTTATAAAATAGCATCGGTTGCACATCCTTGGGTCGTCGAAATCAAGTCCAAGCTCTCTGCTATCATCGAATAGATGATTTTTTTAAGCATATGTTTATCCCAGAAGAAATGTATTAGCATATCGTATGCATGATTCTTATTTTCCGCTGATTTCGGATGCCTTGAAATATATCGGAGGCGATGCTTTTCCACGTTATCTTTTGCAGGAAATTGATCAAATCCTTCATACAAGGATACGTTCCGGGGCTTGTTCTAAAGATATTCTTGTATTTCCTTCCCGGCATCCTGATGATTTTGTCAAAACTAGAAGGCTACTTATCACTATCGTCCCTTGAAAGAAAGACCGCATCAAAGTATTACTATTTCATGCTGGTGAATGTTTTCCTGGGGAGCATAATCGCTGGAACAGCCTTCGAACAGCTATATTCTTTCCTTCATCAATCAGCCACTCAGTAATTCTCTCCATCCTTCTGATGCTTCATTTCTCTTACCCAATGTGATTCTATGATTTAACACCCGAATACCGATTTCATGAATCAGGCTAAAGCATATTACTACTTATCTCTAATCATATTTCAATCGCTCCACAGGATTCCAAGAACTATTGGATTGGGGATACCGATGAAGGCCACATTTTTTATTACGTACATAATGGCAGATGGGTGGACAGGAATTGCATATGAAATTCTACGCCTGAAGCCTCTAGTCATATATCATATCAAAAACATGTTCTTTGTCAAGACGGAGAGAGACAGAGAGAAAGCCACGGACCCTGGGAGCGTTGAACTCCGAGAGACCCTTCCGAATCTGGAGCTGTACTTTCTCCTCGGTCTTGTCTACGCTGTGGTCTCCCCTATTCTTCTTCCCTTTGTGTTAGTCTTCTTCGGATTCGCTTATGCTGTTTACCGCCACCAGGTTAGTCTTCTCACCTATTTCTCATTGCTCAAGGCACCCACATGTACATGCTACTCCTGTTTCTCTCTCTAAAAAGTAGATATAATATATATATATATATATTCCTAAATATTTATTTCCATGATAACACCCTGATTCATGCTAATTTATGGACCGAAGAGTAATTTCTGAAATCCCTGTTTGTATGAACATTGTCCAAATATTTACAATTTTTCTCTTCCATATACCTGTTAGAATCCATGTTTTGAAGAGTAGTGCTTGATGTATCTGTAGATTATTAATGTCTACAATCAAGAATATGAGAGTGCTGGCGCATTTTGGCCTCATGTTCATGGCCGCATCATTGGAAGCTTGTTGATATCTCATGTGCTTTTGCTGGGCCTGCTAAGTGTGAAGAGGGCAGCTTACTCCACTCCTCTACTCGTTATCCTCCCTGTTCTGACACTATCGTTTCACAAGTACTGCAAGAGCCGCTTCGAACCCGCATTCAGAAGATACCCATTGGAGGTGAGGTTGATTCACACCTCTCTCTCTCTCTCTCTCTCTCTCTATCTATCTCTCTGTGTGAATAAGCTCTTCTTGTATAATCAAGTTGAATGGCTCCATAGAGGTGTAAATCCATGCACTCTTTTGCTTCTTTTGGTGTACTGATTGTGAAGATTCTATGAACTGAGTTTCTCAGGAGGCGATGGAGAAGGACGCCGTGGAGAAGGCCGCGGAGCCGGGGCTCAACCTCAAGGCCTACTTGGCGGACGCCTACCTGCACCCGATCTTCCAATCGTTCGAAGAAGTGGAGTTGGGAGATTTCAATGTGGACAAGCACCAGACCCACCGATCTCTTCCTGTAGTGGAATCATCGCCTCCCAGAAGTGAGGTCAACTCTCCCTCTTCTCCCCATTACGTTTATCACTTCGAGATTGAGCCCTGAAATGGAAAATTCTCCCTTTCATTCCTGTATACATCCACATCATTTTCGACAAAAAAGAAATCCCAACCAAACAGAGAGATTGGAATCACTTTTGGATACTCACTTCTCCCCATTACGTTTATCACTTTGAGATTGAGCTCTGAAATGGAAAATTCTCCCTTTTATTTCTGTACATCGACATCATTTTCGACGAAAAATAATTCCAAAAAAAGAGGGGAAAAAAGAACGATTGGAATCACTTGTGGGCACTGTTTGGCGGGCAAGATCTGTTCCTGTGTTTCTGCTTGTGATGGGAGTATTGATGACTGCCTGGCAGATTCCCGGGAATCCAAACTGCTGTTTCCACCGTATGCAGCAGCTCCAAACACCCTCACGAGGGTGCTTGGAAGTATCTGCGCACTCGGATTCGCGGAAAACCGGGATTTCCAGAAGCGCTTCCACAGCATCATGTTTTTCTTTAGAAAATATAACATAATATAATATCTCATTTATTACTTTAATTTGGATTTTTAATTGACTAAAATATTTTTAAAAATTAAAATAAGAGATCGGACGAGTGTGGACTGTAATCTATATGCGGACGCTTGCTGACTTCCTGACACGAGAGGATTCCGAGGGTATTATTATAAATATAAAAAGTCCATTGGTAATTATTAAAAAGTAGGCGCGAAGTAGACGTGGAGCCTCCACGGTTTTCCTTTCATTTATTATAAAAAAATGAAAAAAATTACCAGAATATTCAAAAGTCAATCGTTGTGGATAACAATTATAAAAAAATTGCTCCTTCCCGATCAAAGTGGAGCGTCAGATATTACAGGTGGGCCCCGCATGGACCATGCCACGCGCCTATGCGGCCGTGCCCCAAGGATATGGGCCGGTGCAGCGCTCTCAACGACCCCACACCAAACTCGGCTCTTTCAACCGTACAAGCCATTTGACAGTCGTGCCAGCGTTCAGGGAACGAATCTAAGCGTTGATCCGCCGATCAGCGATGCATCTGGGAATATCCTGTCCGTCTACAGAAATGGACTCCAAAATCGCGCTCTCTTTTTCTCTCTCAAATTACATGTGAAGCAGAGGGCTTATAGTAATTATTTAAAGTATACGTACGATATTAAACGGTTATGGGCGATGGATCATCTTTTAAAAACGAAGATTACGAGACATATGAGAAATTTTATTTATTTTTGTTCTCCAGAGATTACATCTCTCCGCAGACCTGCTATATAAACGGGGTTCTCCCCGCCCGCTTTCCAGGTCGGTACTCTCTCTCTCTCGGTCGGTCGGTCGCTCACTCGCTCGCTCTCTCTGCATTCCCTGCGAATCAATCTGAGAAGGTCCGACTCTGTGGAGCTCCCGTCTTGATTGATGGAATTCGATCCGGGAAAAACGCGACAGATGGTGCGCCTTCCCACGAAACGGTTGAACGGGGAAGCACGTGAAGCGGGCGGAGCACGGACTGTCGACCACGGGAAGGAAGAGAACGCGGCCGCCGGGGATTTGTCACCGCCGGGGGATGACATGGAAGCTGAGGAGGGGGAAGGAAAGTTTGCGGATCCTCCATCGAAGAGGATGTCGCAGCGCCAGGAAGAGAAGGCTGTTAGAGTCTATGCGGACGGGATATACGACGTCTTCCATTTTGGCCACGCGCGGTCACTGGAACAGGCTAAGAAGCTGTAGGAGTTCATTTGCCTGGCCTTTTGGTTCTTGAATAGAGTGGAGAACTCCGGTCAACTTGGATGTTGATTTTGTCCAAGCTTAATTCCTTAATTACCGGCGGTTTTGAAATTTGATTAATTTCTTTGGCTTAGCTTTTTTCATCGTTCTACGTGCATTATATTATTATTATTATTATTTTACATTATTCTTTTTTTTCTCGATACTCTGTTAAACTCGTTATCAGGTTCATTGTTCTACTTTATTTTTTTTATTCCTTCATCGACATATTTTACTGGCTATTTTAGTTAATAAAAAATCCAAACACCCTGCATTTCATGCTTTTTCATGAACACACGAACCTATTTGTATATCTTCTCAAAATTTTGTTTTCATTTGCCTTGTACTTAACTTTGATCTCGTTTGTTTGCATTTAATTTAAAAATTATCTTCAGAGTGATGATATATCTATTTTTTTAAAGAGCACGCCACTATTCGGTTGTATTTTTTTAAAATTGAACTGTGCTCAAGATATAGCCAATAACTTGGCGTGCCTGCAGTGTTGAAATCCGATAATAGCGTGACGCTACAAGATTGAAACTGGCCTTTTAACTAAATTGTCGAGAAGGATCAATTCAGAGAAGGTATAACATGGAACCTTTTATAATTTGGCTTTGAATGCAACCGCTCAAATCAAAATAGTCCATGTGCAACACAAAAACTTTCCTATGATAAAATGACGCCATGACAAACAGAGAAAATAGTTAATGCATCTCTTATTGGAGAAAATAAAAGGGTCATATGCTTGGAAGGCAGTAATCATGGCGGATACATGTTCCTCTGTGGTGCACAATGTGTGGCCTGCCTGGTTGTCTCTGGAATTCGAAAATTCATTGTCATGAGAATTCATAATTCCATCCTCACGGGGATCATAGTCCATTAGCCTATACTACATACTTCCCTAAGACCTAAAAAATTCCGCAAAATTGTTGAAGGAATCAATTAAATACATTTATATTTTTTATATAATAGCATATCCACTCCTATGAATTTGTTTGTTGAGTTTATCCAGAACCTAAATGTGTGTTAAGTTTTGAGCCTCGCATGAAGGTTCAAGGTCATTTTCCAAGAGCATTCCTCTGGGTCACATCCTTCTTAAGGGTGTTTTATCTTTAAAATTTTGGTCATTTCTCTTCGTTCACGTGCCCCCAAAGGAGTTTTTTTTACTTAGCTCCATTGTCCTCGTTAGAATCTGAAAGCTAATTCTTCTCTTTTCGACCACACATGTAAGCAGATATCCTCTGGATATATCTGAATGCACTATTTCTTCAGTTTTTTTCCTGTTAATCTGATTCTGGAGAATAACCTTATATGCATATTTTTTTCAGGTTCCCCAATACATATTTGCTTGTTGGATGCTGCAATGATGAAGTCACTAACAGGTACAAAGGGAAAACTGTCATGAACGAAGCTGAGCGCTACGAGTCACTCCGTCACTGCAGGTATCGAATGCTACCCTTTTTTTCATAGGAAGTCACATTGCTTTTTGTTTAGTCTCTTCCTTTTTTTCCCTCAGAGCTATGCAAACAGTAACGTACAACTTCCATGAAACAGCGAAACTCGGTATTGAATAGAAATGTGACATCAACGTAGAGTGAGAACTATTTCCCTAATCTGCACCAAGATATTGCACTTTCCATGACTTACACCCTCCAGCCAAAACATGCTAATTTCTGGGTTAGCAAGGTCGACGACCTTATTTCCACAAACGTCATAGTCAAACCATAAATCAATATCAATGAACGCTTTTGTCAGTGGGTTCTGCTGAGTGAGAGATGATCCACCTCTAAGGCTGCGTCGAGTGAAGCAAATATGAGCAGAAAAAATATATCAGAAAGAGTAAACTGTAAAATAACTTTGGATATTTGAATTCGCGTAAAACATGGAAATTTTCAGTTAATGGGCACCATGTTTGTGAACATTTCAAGACCTGGTACCCATTTACTGTCCTGAAAAAGTTGCCACGCTAAGGTTCGGTTGAACCAGTAATCATAATCTGTATAATTCAATATTTTGATTATATCCTTCAATTCTATATCCAGAAAGCGACCTTTAGGAGAAAGTATCCAGTACAATGGAGAGAATGCCACCATTTCTTGGGTTAAAGCCTCTGTAGTCTGCTCTATCGCTAGTCCTCAGTGTGGAAAATACAGCATCCCAACTCATTCCACAGAAGATCTGAATACGTTGCTCTTTCAGAGATCAGCATAGTGAAGCCAGAAGGGAAAGAAAACGAATTTTAGAACTGAGGAAGTGCTATGACTTCAGAGCAAAGGGAGAGGAAGGGGATCTTGGAAATATAAGCACGCCCCAAGCAGCAGGGAATCCCGTACTATCCTCTCTCAAATATGTGAACAATACAAAATTATTTTTCGAAACAACGTCTTCGTTCCATTCCTACATCGAATATCAACTTTCAGAATTATTTTTTTCTTTATTTTTAATCTTCTTGATTTTTTCTTTACATGACTATTTGCTCTTATTGCTACAGAAACCAGCTCTTGGATAACTCGTGAGTCTTTTTGGTTTTTCCGCTTGCAACTTCTTCATCCTCTGCCAGTGAGATTTTGTCTCTTGGATAATTCTTTCAATCGGATCAGTCCTCAAATCTGACCCCTTATCTTAGAAGAAAACGTGGGAGAGAAAAAAAAAAAAAAAAAAACGCGCAGATTTCTTTTGTATCTATAAACCATTTCATTCAAAACTTTCATCAGCTTTCTCTGTGTGCCATTCTGGTATCCTTGTCTTGCAATCTTTCCTGTAAAGGAAAGAACAGTCGTTGTCTCTGCGCGCGGGGAGCTATTTCTTGTGAAAATATTTTATTTTTTTTGCATTTATCGGATTAAATATAAGTAGATTTCTTGTTTGATAATCTGTTTGTGTCGCTATCTTGTTTCACTCGTGTGAATTGAGAACTTCTTGTAGCTCTTCGGAGCTGATAACATTGGTTACACAAATCGCCATAGATGGGTCGACGAAGTGGTTCCAGACGCTCCATGGGTGATCACGCAGGAGTTCCTCGAGGAGCACAGAATAGACTACGTGGCTCACGACTCACTTCCGTAAGATCAATCATCAGAGATAATACTCTTTTTCATAGTTTCTCCGCTAAATTGCTCATCTATATAAAGCGGACGCATTGAAGTGAAGGGGGGGGGTGGGGTTTGACTTCGTGTCAGACAAGAACGTTTCTTGTTGACTGACGTGTGATCTGGTCAATGCAGGTACGCAGACGCGAGTGGAGCCGGGAAGGACGTATACGAATTCGTCGGTCAACTGAATCTTCTGACCCTTTCTGATTAGCTTTCTGAGCTCTCGTCGTAGCTGATCACCGCCCGGCCCTGCCTTCCTGCTTGCAGGTGAAGGCCGCCGGGAAGTTCAAGGAGACGAAGCGGACGGAGGGTATCTCCACCTCCGACATTATCATGAGGATTCTCAGGGACTACAACCAGTACGTGATGCGTAACCTGGCCCGCGGCTACTCCCGAAAGGACCTCGGCGTCAGCTACGTGAAGGCATGAGAGCTCCTCCCCTTCAGAAATCGATCTGCCACCCCATGAGCGGACGCTGGCTGACTTTCTTCCTTGTCTTCATTTCAGGAGAAGCAGCTGAGGGTGAAGATGGGAATAACCTGGTGGCGCCAGACAGTGAGGGAGCATCGGGAGAAGGTGGGCAAGAAGGTTCGTATTAGCTCAGCCCATCAAAATATTTAGAAAAAAAAATACAGCGTCTGATCAATCTAAAGTGAGATTCCATCTCTTTGTCGATGATCTCCATTCAGTCCGTAAATGGTGCTTTTAGCTACCCCCATATGAGTCCTGAGGGTTAGAGAGAGAGAGAGAGAGAGAAAAGACTGAGCCGTAGTCAGCCGGCACGTTGACATCCTTTTCTGCAGTTGCACACTGTGGCCAAGACCGCCGGGATGCACCACGACGAGTGGGTGGAGAACGCCGACCGTTGGGTCGCCGGCTTCCTCGAGAAGTTCGAGGAAGGCTGCCACATTATGGTAACTTGATTCTTTCTCTCTCCCCCCCGCCTCTCTCTCTCTCTCTCTCTCTCGTATGGCCCACAGAGAGATCCTTCTTCATGTGACAGGAAATCGCTATCAGAGATCGGATCCAGGAGCACCTGAAGAAGCAGCAGCTGAGACCGCTCTCCGGCTGGATGTCGGAGACGGTCTCCTTTTGATGTGCTTACCTTTGTGGAGAGTCAGTCCACAGCCGCGGCGGGGATTCATTGACCTTCAGACAGACTGTGAGTTCCTCTATGCTCGCTCTTCCTTTTTCGTGGGTCTCTCTCTCTCTCTCTCTCTCTCTCTCTCTCTCTCCTTCCTCCTCTCTAGGGAGTAATGGGCCACAGAAGCCCGGATTGGTTGCGTTGTACCCCACCTAGACCAGTCTTCTGTTCTCACCTTCTTCTTCTTCATCTTCTTATTTTGCTGCTTCTCTCTCCTTACTCTCCTTCCACGACCTCTTTTTCTCTCTCCTCACGCTCAGCCGTCAAAAGAGATAAAACGAGTGATTAGAATTAGGGCGGTTTAAGGCGCGAGGTTGGTTTACATACATTTCCTCAGGTCATTCTTCACCGTTCCGTTTAATTTCGGGTCTGGCTTTAAAGAGATCCTTCTATCCTGGATCCAATACGCCTTAAATTAGAGGCCCATTAACTTTAAATTCGAGCCCATTAGCCTGATATAGTACTCTTTAATTTCAGGCCCAATTATAAATCTATTTCTCATTTGACCTCAATTAAATCAAGATAAAATGCAAAGGTATTTCATACTACTATTTGGTAAGTACTAATTACCAAATAATGTCATTTTCTTGTATGATCTTTGAAATACTTAGAATCACATTTATGCATTTTTGTACTAATGGAAATGCCTAAATTATTCTTCATAGTTTGTGGTCGTCATCAAAACACATAAATCATTAGGTGCCCTGCAGCGCCTAACTCCCCCTCTTTCTCTCAAACCTCACTCCTTTCGAGCAACAAGAAATTGAAGAAGACTTGGCCCTCATAACAGACCAACATTACCTAGTGGAGGCAGCTTCCTCCCTTCTTTTATCATGAGCTTAGGGTATGCACAAGAGAAAAAAAGACACTCATGCCCCTAATAGAGAAGATCATTCTCCATTCCTAATAGACAGATCTGGGGATCAACTTGTGCTTATTAGCTTCTACTCTCAAATGTCAACACTTATCCACAAGAGCCAGCATTTTGTCTAAAGATCAACAACACTTTTAGCTCATATAAATACGTCAAAAAATTTCAACAAAATACGTTATCCACTGCATGATTATCCAAGAGTTTTGAAGGACTACAAATTGACAAGACATTTAAGTCAACTTATTGGGTTTAACATGGCACTGCTGTATGGAGCTGGCATCCCTTTGACTTTGAAGATATGGAGTAGTTCAGCTGTTCATCATTTAGATGGAGTAGCAATAGTCAACAGGCAGACCGGCCTTGAAAGCTAGGATGGATCCATGGTCCCCAAGCTAGGTAGATGACTCGTGAATGCAAGAATTATGGAGTAGGCTGAAATAGGTGCCTAGTGTAGCGGTCCGTAAAGGCACACAAAGCCTTTGAGGTGCTATGCAGAGCAGATTTTAGGTGCGCATACCAAATGTCTATGAAGCATCGAGATGGAAGGCAGCAGGTGTGCACACAAGCCCAGACTGGTCCACTTTTCCTGGGCTTGGGCCTAAAAAAAGCCCAATAATGACTATTATTAGGCCCAGTCCGTCTCGGTCCCTGTCGGGGCCGAGTCTTGGTTTCTGTGTGCCCACGTGGCAAGAAGGCTTAGTATCTGACTTGATCCAATAGAGGCCTCCCGGACCCAATTGTCAACAGTGTTCTTTAGGGGGTTAAGGCGCTTGCGGCTTCTTCCTTTTTCTATACAACACTTTTTTGGTGAACTAAAGAGAGGACCCCTTCCTTTCTGTTGTTGCCAGCGCTTCCCATACTGTTTGGAGGGCAGGAGGCATAGATGCCAAACCTGACCCCCCACGTGGCACCGAGGCAGACCGTCAACGTTTCACACCAGGTAGACCAGTCTTCTGTGCTCACCCTCCTCGAGTGAGTACTCAAGTACACCAATGACCTACATATGTATACCCGAGTTGCCCCCCTCTTGAGGGCTCGTCGGTGTCGGGGTGGGAAAGCGCTTCACGGCATTCTGCATTAGTTGCTTGACAAGCCCATCCACCTCCCCACCCATCTCCCTGTTCCCCCCACTCCTCTCTCGATCTCTTTCTCTCTCTCTCTCTCTGGCTGGGTAGAGTTGGGTTCACTAACCATCCATATCCTTCTCCCCCCCGCCGCCGTCGACCAAAACCTAATTGAGCGACCAGACGAGGGAGAGGCCGATGATTCATTTAAGGATAAGCGGAGGTTCCGTGTGAGGGTGATGGACGTGAATGGCAGTTTCAGACCCACGGGTCCAAATGAGATCACTCCAGAAGGTTCGGTAGAAACACTTGACGAGTGTCTACATGGCCTACATGGCCTACTTGTTATGGGCGCCGATTGACTGCCCCCGGGTCTGATATCCCGCCCCCCCGCCAAATGGGACCGTCCCCATAGAGAGCGAGAGAGAGAGAGAGAGAGAGTTGGCAGGGTGATTGCTAATAGGCAGACTAGTGCACCGACTTACTAAGGGCAGCGTTTGTAGTGGCCCTTGGAATGCGCGTTGGATCACGCTGGGAAATCGATTGCCAGTACGATTCATCAGAGAATGGGACCCTGCCCTGAGGGAGATCACATGGGGCTACGGACAGAGCTCCACGTGGAGGCCACCGTCAGTCAGTCTGTGCACGTCTTCTCAGAGAAGATAAGGCTATTACTGTTCTTGTCGACTCTACTCTCTCTCTCCCTCTCTGCGTTGAAGAGAAGGGCCCTTCCCAATCGCTTTGCCTGACCCTCAGAGAGTTCGGAGCTTGCTCCCCATAGTGCCTGGTTCACTATAAATAGAGCAGCACGTCAGGGTCTTCTCGGTACCTCGTCTTCGTCTCCCTCTTCTTCTTCTTCTTCTGCGAGATGGCTTCCAAGGCTTTGCCCCTGCTGGGCTTCCTCCTGATCGCCATGCTCCTCGTCTCCGCGGCTGCCGACGCAAAAGACACCAAGGAGAAGGAAACAAGTTCGTTCTTCTTCCCCTATCTCCCCCTCCCCCATATATCGACCTCGCTGTTGCCCCCATGCTGCTGAAACTCCACGTTTTAGCAGCTCCCAGAATTTTCTCAGGCTAACGCAGAAGCTTTTTCATTCTCATGCTGCTGAGACACCACGTTTTAGGAGCTCCCAGAGTTTCCCAGGCTAACGAAGAAGCTTTTTCTTTCCCATGCAGAGATCTCCGTCGACCAGCACGGCGGCGGCTACCCGTACCCTGGCGGCAGCCGCGGGGGCGGTGGTGGCGGCTACCCTTACCCGGGCCGAGGCTACCCGCCCCGGCGGCGATGCCACTACCGTTGTTGCCGTAGGCACGGCCACAACTGTTGGTGCTGCAGCCGGAAGGAGTTCGTGGCTACCGTGGAGAAGCACAACTGAGAAGACGGCCTTCGGCCTGCCGGAGGACCGCCGGAGCTAGGCGGAGGCGTTCGCGCTCGACGGCGGCGCAGGGCCCCTCCTCCCCTTAAATAAGAAGCCCCGTAGAAGGCGCGCATGCACGTGATTGTACTGTAAACGTTGGCTTTTTAATTTTGTCGGGTGTGGATTCACCGTCTTCTGAAATAATGAACGGCTAGAAGGTTGTCTCCGTGAAGGGTGTCAATGGGTGAAGCCAGAGAGAGGGAGAGAGCGAGAGAGAGAGAGAGAGAGAGAGAGAGTTTGGCACGTGGGTGATAGAGGATGGGGTCTCACACGTGGCTCTAGATGTACGAATTTTCCTTTTAAAACCATAAATGATACGAGAAGATTTTTCATGTGCATTATAGTTTGACTTTTTCTAACTTCTATAAATACGTATTATTGGATATTACTTTTTTAAGATGTCCAAAAATAATAAGAGTTTGACAAATAATTATTATTGAAACATATCTTCTACTAATTTAACATGAGGGCAGTCTGCACGATGCTTCGTGTTCATTCATAAAATATAATATATTTTATTTTTATTTTTACACGTTTTTGTGCTTGTTTGCTGACCATGCAACATGGAGTATCCTTCTAAGAAGGTATCTATATTGCCATTTTTTTGTTCAAAAATATTTTTTTATACTTAAATAGTGATATAGAATATTCACTTGTACGTTTAACAAAGTCCATGCAATTTATCACAAAAAAAGTTGTAATCATTTTGTGACGATCTGATAGTAAATTGGCTTTTATAGCATAACAAAAACTACTTTTAATTTTATGATTAAATAAATTTATCTTATTTGGAAATTTGGAAAGATATTAGCCATATGGTTGATTTTGAAGGCTAATTGCTTCAAACAGAAAAACAAGACATGAGAGAAAAGCTTAGAGGAAGAAAAGTTGAAAATATTTTAGTGGGGAGATCAAATATATAAAGAAAAAAATCATTTTCATTTTAAAAATTCAACATCTTCACATTTTGAAAAGATGAATTTTATAATTAGTAGCCTTTGATGACATATTTGGAGACTTGGATAAATAAATTTAAATTAACATTAGATTGCAATAATAAAACCCATTTTTGGAGGCATAGATAAAATATATGTTTTATAATTTTTGCTAAAAAAGATGGAAAATATTTTTGAGAGTCACATTTTGCCTATATTTTGGAGATGATTTTGAGGATATAATTAATACCTAACCAAGTGATACTATGAGACTTTTCTCAAACATTCTTAGAAGCCAGTAGTTTGGAATTGAATTGAGCATGGCACAACATTAGTGGTAATTGTCCAAAGTTAACATATAAGAGTCAATGTGTAATTTGGGATCCCGTCCTCTTCTACTAGTGTGAGAGAGAGTGTTCTTCATGAGGTCATATCCTACATGGAAATGCTATTGTGTGGGGAACCCAGAGATGGTGAACGCTAAGCAGAGCACTAGCAGGATGGAGAGGCACCTTCACATTGTCCTTCGACGCACAAAGATGTTCAGCCATCAGCACCACCTTCATGCTGCCAAACTCGAAGATGACTTCTGAAAATGTTGCCATCACCATTGACATTTACCCCATCTGATAGCAAAGCTCAAATTGGCCCTCTTAGTCATTGGCTGATATAGTCCAAAATCTAGAAACTGAAAAAGAGTTTGAAATCAGAGGCCTAATGACTTTGAAATTAGGCCATAAAAGGAAGAATATTAAAATAAGGCCAAATAACTAATTGAGCGCAACAAAGATATGAAAAGTTACCTTTTGAAAGCTACTTTATGGAAACTTACTTTATAATATTTAGAATTTGTTCTAAATATTATTTAGAGCCTATTTCAAGTTGTTTTTAGAGTCTATTAGAATCTATTTAAGGTTATTTTAAAGACAATTATAGTTTATACTTAATATCTATTCATGATCATCCTTTTGGAAGCGCACCACCTATTTTCTAGGTCAATATAAATGCCTCAATTCTAACTTAAGAAACACACATTTGAAGTATTATGAGTTTTTCTCTCATATGAGGTTACCTTCCTCCTTCTACTTGTGAATTCAAACTCTCCTTTGTGGATTCAAGGGTCTTTCATTGATCTTGTGAATTTAAAGTCACTCCCTTGTGGGTTCAAGGGTTGAAGGCTCTAATCCTATGGATTCATAAACTAGTATTTTTTTCACAATTTATGCTTTGTTGATTCAAGTCTAGATCTTACTGTCTTTCACGTTACTACTATGTTAGTGGGTATCATAATAAGCTCTACAATCTAAATCTACATTTATAGATGTCTTGAAGTAAATCAACTCATATTAATGATGATAATACTCTTAAAGTATGTCTTTTCTCAAAATCAGTCTTTATTCAATTTTAAGAATAGATAGATTAAAGATTTGAAGAGGTCAATGATACATTAAAATAGCTTTAGGATGAAAGACTACATTAGAAAGTCATTCATGCCCTCAGAAAGATCAAGAATCCAAACATCCTCAAAGAGTGACCTCTAATGAAACTTCATTAGATAATCATTTTACATTTATTTCAAAAAGTTTCAGAACCAAACTTGAAGATGATTATTCTTGAGATTCTCATTTAAAAATTGATTTATCATATTTTAATGGTCATTTAAGAATTGAAGAGTTGTTTGATTGGTTGGCCAAAGTTCTGTTTTTTTAATATCTGAAGATTTAAGAAGAAAAGTAAGTAAAGTTATTATCATATAAATTGAAAGGTGATGCTTTTGCTTGGTGTGAGTAATTATAATCCGCACGTGTTAGACTAGGCAAAGTAACTTATATGAATGTGGGAGAAAATAAAGAAAAAATTGAAATCTTATTTTCTACCACTTGATTATGAGCAGATTTTATATTATTATCAAACTATAAACAAGGAAGTTGATATGTTTCTAACTATGTCAAATAACTTTATCATTTATCTTTCCAAATTGATTTAACTGAATCTGAATCATATATGACTTTGAGATTTAACAATGGTATCAGATGAGATATAAAAAAATACTAATTATGTAGCCATTTTTTATGTTTAATTATGTGGTTATGGCAATGGAACATGTTGAGTCATTGCTAAAAAAAGGACTAGAGCTCGAAATCACAATAATCATAATTCAAATTTTCAACAAGACAGAATGAGATGAATTATTTTTTCTTCAACCCCACAAACTAGATAAACAAAATCTTCAGTAAGATCAGGTATAATAGCACCTCTTGCGCAAGTTTCAAACACAAAAAAATGATTATACTTTTAATGTCATTCTAAGATGTTATAGTTGTGGTGACAATGAACATAGATCAAACATTTGCCTAGAATGTGACTCAATTAACCTTCTAGATTATTTTGTGGAAGATGGAGAACATGAGGAGTTAGAAAATAAGTCTATGTTAGAGAAAAATTTATTGAATTTTATACTGGAGACACTTTCACATTCACTTGTGATGAAAAGATTGATATATATATATTGAGAAGAGAGGAATATCAATAATGCCACAATGTCTTCAGGATGAGGTGTATGGTTAATATTAAGATATATGGTGTCATTATTGATAGTGACAATAGTGAGAATATTGTTTACTCTAGTATCATTTAGAAACTAAGATTGAAGACAGAACCACATCCACATCCATATCAAATTGGCTAGATTCAAAAAGATACTAAAATCAAAAGTTCAATGTGATATTGTCGAAAGGATGCTTGTCATATGATCTTAAGAAGATTGTAACAATTTGATAATGATTTTCCACGCATTGTGGCAAGGATAGTATTTATTTTCTATAAAAATAACCAAAAAATTGTTTTAGACACAATGGGAAACTGATTTTGCATCATATAGATTTAAAAAGTTGTCTAAAATTATTTCTCATAATGTTACTTTATCATTATGAGAATAAAAAAGGGGAAGTATGTTACTTTATCATAATGAATTTCTCAATATACCAGATGATGAATCCAAATTATTTCTAGTTGTCTAAAAAGTCAAAGTTGGCATTCAAATTGATTTAATCGTTTCCAAAATTTATTCAAAAAGTGTTTTAAGTGTACAAAATATATTTAATTATCTTTCTCCTATGCGAGATATCCAACATCATATAGATTTAATTCTAAGAGTAATTTTACCAAATATGTCACATTATAGGACGAGCTCAAAAGAAAATTGAATTCTTCAAGAACAAGTGAAGAAATTATTAACAAAGAGGCTGATTAAAGAGAGCAAGAGTTCATGCTCTGTATCTACATTATATCTTCCAAAAAAAGTCAAAAGTTGTATATGCGTGTCAATAACATAGCTATCAACAAGATTAAAATTAAGTATAGATTTCTAATTCCACATCTAAATGATATAGTTGACATGTTTGTTGGTTTAAGGATATTTTCAAATTTTGATTTAAAGAGTGAATATCATAAAATCCAAATTCAGTCAAGACATGAGTGGAAAAATACTTCTAAAATAAACATAGGTATTTACAAATCATTGGTTATGCCTCTTTATTGATCAAATGATTCTTGTACGTTTATGAGAATGACAAACCAAATTCTAAACCTTTTATTAAAAAAAATATTATTATTTTCTTTGACAACATTTTGATCTACAATACTACAAGAGGAAGAACATATCAATCATTTAAGATTAATATTTCAAGTCTTACAACATAGTGAATTATACATAAATTTGAAGGAATATGATTTCATGACCAATAGTTTGTTGTTCTTAGAATATGCTGTTATTGCAGATGGGATCAAATAAGATGAAGAAAAAGTAAAAATTATTAATAATGGGTAGTACTAAATAACATATATCATGTTTAAAGTTTTCACTAGTTAGCATCTTTTTACAGAAGATTTATCAAAAAAATTATTGCAATTACAACTTGTATTATTGAATATATGACAAAGGATAATTTTAAATAGATTGATGAAGTTGGTAAGAGTTTTGATTAGATTAAAGAGAAATTATATTTTTTTTCCTATTTTAAC